GACGCCATCGGGGGCATGTGAAACACAACTCACCGACTAGGCTGACCACGAACCAACTCTGTGCTGCATCCGCAAAGATAGAGGACTTCGACCACGTCCACGCCCATGCGACTTCCCATCTCGACCCATGCCCAATGTATGCGGAATGTAGCTTGCGCGTGTTCCGGAGACGTCTGTTTCGCTCGACGATCGCATCCTGTATCCAGTCTACGAACATCGGTCGATTTCAGTAGGTCGTGCCCGCCAAAGGATGCGCACCTATTGTCGTGAAGTCTTCATACTTCCTACAAGGAGCAATGGCGTGTTAGCTGGGAGCGCAAGAGCCACGGAAGCCGACAGCAGCTGACTGGATTCGCTCGTAATCTTCGTCCCGTTCGTCCGGGGAGCCATTGTGGTGGTACTCGGTCGCTCGTTCACGCGACATGCATGCCTATGAGCTGGTTTTCCGTTCGAAAGATAGACACTCGCACGACTCGTGTCTTCTGTGAGCAGTGAGCTCAGAACCGAGGACGAGACGTATAGCGTGTCACGGTTGAGTCGCAAGCGCCTGCGCAGCGACCCCTTTGAGGCGCAATCATAGCCTTCAGCGTTCTGACCGCACGCGTTCAAACGCTCAATTCACATAGCACGTACACAGAAACAAATAAACATGAAATATTCATTCTGTAGCACGCAACACTCTGGAGATAAACGTCGCATTTCATAGAAATCACCCGTCGTCCACTGGCAAGTCCTTCGCGGCTGAGAGTGAAGCAGCAGGTGTGTATGCTTGTGCGCGAGCAAAGTTATCTACCGTCTATTTGCTCATCCCTGTACTGCCTGTCAGATTGTCCAACCTCGCACACACAATGCTACTCACCTTCGGCAACTATTCTGTACTCGAATGAACAGCCAGTCCACTGCTGCTCGGACACCGGTCCTTGTGACGGAGTCAACATCTCGCACCACATACAGGAGCCATACTCACCCTTCCAGTGCGGATATGCCCATTACATCGAGACTGGCAATCCGGTCTCTGCGGTGTTCTAACTCAATCTCATCCCCATACCTCCGACGAGCCGCATCCTGTTTACTCCGATACCATTCTTCGTAGTCATTCCGGATCTCTTCGCCAGAGAGGCTGTGCGGGCTGTCCTGCTTATTCGCGAGCAGCAGCAACGGAACACCGAGGATCTTGGGATTTGAAAGGACGTTGTCTTAGGACCCTTGCTCAGCATGAGCACACAGCAACAGTCGGGGAAGCGATGCGACAGACACGTACCGAATACTTCCCAGCCTTCGCCCAATCTCTCTCGGTCCTGGGCGTCCAGGACGAAAACGACAGCATGGCAATCATCGTAGTAACGGTGCCATATGGAGCGAATACCCCTTTGACCGCCCAGGTCCCAAAACTGCAGGATGGTAGACGGTAACGTTATCTTACCCACTACACTGCCAACGTCACTTATAACACCGACACTTGCGACGTATATACGTACTGTTCTGACCGACTGTCGGCGCAATCTTGTCCGAAGGAAGGCCTGGAGTGTCACTGTATAGGGTCTTGATCTTCTCCAGCAATGTCTGAGGAATTCCGTTAGGGACTTGATACGAGACAAGTGAGGTAAACGCGTACTGTCTTGCCAGCGCCGTCAAGTCCAAGGATAATCACCGAGAACTCCTCCTTTCTATGAGGTCTAAGCTGCAATTTGCGTTCACGGAACACACAGCACGAACCTAGTGAAATATTCGTAGAACCCTTTGAGGAGATGATACATGGTTACATTGGTCTCTGCAGACAAGCGCGGCGCGAACACGTCCCGCCACAAGCGGGACCCAGCGCTCGCAAATGGCCGAACTGCGCACGTGCCCTGCGGCCCTCGTCACCCCCGGCGAGCACAGCGACCACCACACCCTCTGAACGCTGCCCGCCACGATGGGCGTGTTGACTTCATACTACACTTATGGTTTGCCAACCTTTCTGGTGACTATAATAGGTCTCTACCTTCTCTTCACTGGTGAGTGCGCGTATCGCAGCTGTACCGCGAGCGGTGCTGAGCATGATACTCAGGTTCCGGTGAGGCCTTCAATGTCGGCCGTTTCTTGGAAGAGACAAGCCCATATGCTTGGGCGGCGACCGGCATCGGCCTTTGCATTGGCTTGAGCGTGCTGGGCGCTGGATGGTGCGCTCGTTGTCTGATACTTCGCAGTTGGGCTCACCTTACCTCGCCTCGTAGGGGTATCTTCATTACCGGGTCGTCCATCCTTGGTGGGGGCGTTCGGGCTCCCCGGATCCGAACTAAGAACCTCATCAGGTATGCAATTCCATTCCGATGGACGACGCAGTCGCCTGACTCACCTGTCCAGTATCATCTTCTGTGAAGTCGTGGCCATCTACGGTGTCGTAAGTTTGCTTGCTCGCAACATGATCCTGTCCCTCTCCTTACACCACACAGATCATTGGCATTGTCTACTCCGCGAAGATTACGACCGTTCCCGAGGCGGAGCTCTATACCCGCGAGAACTACTTCACCGGTATGATCTCGTGCATTGACACCGCCCGTACATTCTCTAAACATCCGCGGCCCATCTGCAGGCTATGCGCTTTTCTGGGGAGGGCTCACCGTAGGCGCGTGCAACCTCCTGTGCGGCGTCTGCGTGGGTATCACTGGGTCGACGGCTGCACTGGCCGATGCCGCCGACCCGGACTTGTTCGTGAAGATCCTCATCGTGGAGGTATTCGGGAGCATCATGGGTCTCTTCGGACTCATCGGTACGTCTCCACCACCCCTTGAAGTCGCCTTCTGAGATGCTTACGTGTGTATCCCTTGCAGTCGGACTGCTCATGATTGGCCAAGCGGGTGAGTTCAAGAGCGGAGGAACCGTGCCAGTGGCGCCTGCTGTCGCATCGCCCTACGTACATCGATACGTCGACTTGTGATCACTGTCTTAGGATAACTTAATGGAAGGCTGACAATCAATGTCCTTTTGCGCGTCCTCTCCGGCAACTCAACTATGTGCGGTGGGAACTGGGAGTGATACACCGCGACATCCACTGACAGAGGTAGACGTGAGTCTCTTGATTCATGACCGCGGGAGAACGACAGTAGATTCCGGCGTAGGATTGTGTCCGGATCATGAATGATACAGGTTGCGTCTATTACGTGGTAAAGAAAGGTATCGAATCAAGACTCAATGTTAACGATACAGATGCCTACTACAGGATGTTACAGTTAAAGAATTTGTGGTTTGTGAATACAGTATCTTCCAAGAGGGTAGTGAGTGTGTCGTGAGCAGAGCATGATAGAGCGTAACGAGAGCTATATGACAGCGAGATAAAACCAATGTTTCATGCAAAGTGAGTCTCCAGTCCAACACCCAGAGAATTCGTTAATACTTGACGCCCTCGAACCAGTTCAAGGGTGGCGTCCTGAGAGGAAACCCTTCAGGCGAACAAATGATAGGGCGATCTGTAGTGTTGGCGCGAGAATGGCCGTATGGCTGCACGACGACAGATGCCGTCTCCACCGTGCAATCGTCCTTGAAGAGATCCTCCTCGTCCTCAATGTCTTCGTCGTCATCCGTGGGAGGACTGGTCGACGATGCGAGGTCGCTCGTCATGACTCGGAGCGCCTCAATGTCCTCCCGCGTGAATAGCACCGGGAGTCGCTCGCGCGGGGCCCGCGACTGCAACTGAGGCTGGCTTGCAGCACGTCTAAGGTCAGGCACGGGGCGGAACGGAAGCGGTAATACGGGGTTGAGCTGCGACTGCGTCGCCCGAATGGGATCCCTGGGTCCGCGAAGCATGTGCGTCTTGCCACGGCTTAGGAGATGAGTGGGAGACGTTCGGTGCATCGTGAACGACGTGTCCACGAACACTTGGCTGTGATCTTCGACAGATCCCACATCGAGACCTGTATAAGTTAACGGATCAGTGACTAATACGAATGACGCTTCCAAGGTAGGACCCTGACCTGTGAGGGAGACGTTGAGACCTTTCAGGGCATCGTCGAGCTTTTTGAGGAAGGCAGGAGACGTAGACAAGTCCGCCGAGGGTGGAGAGGACTGCGGCGAGGAGTGCGGTGTAGGTGGGCCGGGCGAGAACTCTGACAGTTCCGACAAGTCTGATTGAGTTGAGCGCCGCTCGTATGCACCACGTCTCTGGGCCACACCGCCCATATGCTTTCCGATATCCGCTGCCCATTGGCCAATGTCGACCCCTTGCTTCTCAGACCTCGGAAGGATGGTTTCATTGGTACCAGGACCTGAGGATACCTGTCGGATGCCTAGACAGCGATGCACGGTTGTCAGGCCGATGCTAGACAGTGGCAACATGACGGAACACGGCGCACCATAATTCTCATCGTCAATCGTGGTTTCCCATGATGATCCGTGTGGTTTCGACACGGAGCCAATGAGAGCCGCATGTCTGTCGGAAGAGGCAAGGGGGAAACGACTGTAGGAGGACGAAGACGAGGAAGAGTTGCATGCCGGCGGCGAACCGCAGAGTTCCGCTCCGGCATAGTGGCCCTCGGCGCGCTGCTGTGAACGGCTATGTATAGCCGAACTTCCACCTATCAAACACCGAGGTTGTGAGCATCCGGTCCCTGAGGTGGAATGGGGGGCTGGACGTACACGGAAGGCTGTCAGAAACGTCTGCGTGTCTGGTGACTGCCCCTCGTTGCTCCGCGTGCCTGTACTCGGAAGCTCTCATCTGGGCGCTCTCGATACTGGCCCGGGAGCGCCGGACGACCTCCTGCATCGATAGTGTCAGAGTCGAGTCGCAACGCAGTGCCGAGGTGCTGCTCACCCTCACTTCCGAGTACAGGGACTGGGCGCGAGACTTGTATCGGGATGCTCGTGAAACGACCTCAAAGCTCAGCCTCTCCGGGCTCTGGGCAAAGTCCGAGAGATCGTCTCGTTCCACCACAAGCCTGTGGAAAAGCAGGTGAAACTCGGAAGTCGTAGTATCGTGTGAGCTCAACGTACCCGTCGTTCATGGTCTGCAGATCCCATACCTCTGCGTCGGAGAGTAGCCCCCGCTGCGCACGCATGCGAGCCAGTGCGTCCTCCCTGTACCTCTCGCCTTGCTTGAGTGACTCTTCGAAAGTCGCTTTCCAAAAGTCCCGCAGGTCCTCGATGGGCGAGCGCGCGCTGACTGGCGATTCACTGGACGCTGTACGAGAACGACGAGGAGAGGTGGGGAACACGAGAGTGCTGAGGTATCTCTTGAGAGCCATAGTCTCATGGAAGAGTGAGGAGAGCAAAGGATCGCAGAGGCCGGCCTGCTTTAAAGAGTATGATGGAGCATCATGATGTCTGTGCTTCTAATAGATGAGTAGGCCAACTGAGGTCACACCTCACAGCCACGACACACGTCAAGTCCGTTGTCCAGGCCATGGTGACCGCGTAGCAGAATACAACGGGAAGGGGCCCGGCGACGCCACGTTGGAGCCTGCCGTACGTTAGCGTGATCCAGTGTAGGCGAGTATGGGTCCCATCGTCGCCTCGGAAGAACGTTCCTGAAACAGACTCAATTTGCTTCCGCGAAGGGTCGGGGTTTCGATCGACGGGCCTCGTTGTTCAGAGCCGCCCCGTTGTATGGGCCAGCAAATCAGAACGGGCGCATCGAAAATTGCTCGGTGTCGTTCGCAACGAGGGCCCCTTGCAAAGAACAAGGATGCTCGAATCAGGAACACTCACACAATACGACTTGCCAAACTGGGATTCGTGAGATATCCACGGCCGAAGCGGCAGCACGGTTGTAGTCACATCGTGACGGGCCTACGCCGTACAGTGACAAGTGCGGCCGCGGCGCTGTGCTACGACTCCGCTCTTCCACGAAGTTGCGTCGATTGGCAGCTCGAAGAGCCTGAACCGTGTGCTGAATCTCAGTCCGTGTCAACTGGCTGGCAACCTGGAAAAAGGAAATAGCTGCCTGCGTGCGCGTGAACCTTATGCGACTCGGACCTGCGTTGCTTCCAGTGCGAACTTGGCGGACACTCACCGGACCATGCATGCACGTAGAACGGAACCCACGTTGGCGAGCCGTCGATTGAGGCGTTGTGAAATCTCTATTGGAGCGTTAACAACATCGCATTAGACAACGGTAGCATTGGGCCATACTCCCCAAATAGTACGTGCGAATGGACCATTGCGCCATGCCTACGTACCCGCAGGCTTTGATATCACGACCGTACTTGCACGGAGCAACCGACAAGGGGACTCGCGTACCTGCCACGACCCTTGCCATCGACCCGTCGGGGTAAGACCACGAGGCAATAGCTCGGAAGACCCAAGACTATCACGGATGTGCCTGACGTTCACGCCGCCTTATGCCTTCCTGACAACATTCACTTCATGCATGCCGTATGAGCTCGGACCATTTTGAAAAAAAGGATTGACGGGTTTCGATTATGGATTGCAGAGGGCGACGGCGGCTCGGCGGCGAGTCTAGAAAACGGCTGATAGTGGACGACTGCGCGCGGCACATCGTAGTTATCAGCGTTTACAAGTACTCGCCCACGGAAAGGAAGCAGTGACCGACCTTATGTAGCCATAAGCCAAATTCCCTGCGAGTCGCGTCAAGTTGGCCCAGTCAATACTACACTGGCAGTGGTACAAGAGAGGTGAAAATGCAGTCGTATCAGTAGCAAACAGTCTAGCACCTCGTTATTTTTTATACCCAGAAGTTAGGAATGGAAAAGTCGGAAGTGATAGGTCGACGTTGGGTCTCGGACGTTGGGTCTCGGACGTCTTGTTCACGTTCAACGTTCACGACGACGACGCGTCCCTGACGCGGTCCGTCACGCGTGACCTTCTTGTGACATGTCGCGTTCTGTCGCGTTTCCCTCCGAGTCTTTGCTCCTGGCTCCGCCCGCAGTCTCCTTTTGCCATTGGCCTCCTCGAACCTCAGGCATGCGCGTCCTCTACCACCGTCTTCCTTGACCATGCATTGAAATTGCTGCAACGCCAAGTTGCTCTAATAAAGCCCCGCTAGCGGTACTTGTCCAGATCACATAGCAGAGTTCGTCTGTGGCATGTTGGCGAATTCTCAACTCTGCGACGCTCGCTGTTCAACGTCATGCATTGTGCTGCGGTGTCCTACTCCTTCCTGGCATCTCATTTCTGTCTATGTACTGCGCACGCAGCGACCCGGATACGGGCCTACGGATGTGGCCCAATCCAAAGACAAGCTGAGCCAAATGATTACCGTGGCGTGTAAGTTTGCCTACCAGGCAACGTACCTCGTGTTCTCACTATCATTACAACGTTAGCTTGCTCCTACTCGGCGCCGGTGCCGGAAGTGTGGAGTTTGAACGTTTGAACAGCCACATGGAGGTACGGGTCTGCGCAATCGTGGGCTTCAGCCAGTGCAGCTGCAGTGTCACAAATGATGGGTCCTCAGTCAGCTCTGCTAAGCTGAACGTTTTGCGTTCACTTACTGATCGCTACAAGGCAGTCCCTATTAGGTCGCTGGTATGTTTACGTCAGTATTATGTTCAAAGTGAGCTTTGTGGTACTGATCATCAGTGTCCTTTAGTATGGCGGGCGTTTCAGGCGGTGCAGTAACATCTTGGGTGAGCAGCTGTCCCTGGTATACATATGTGCACTCGGTGAGCTGTGCTCGCCGCGAACGCCTGCGTAGTCGTAGAGCCACCAAAGAGCACAAGTGTTGTGTTTGATGTCAGTGGTGCGGGGCTGCAGGGAGACATTGTAGAGAGATACAGATACTCTGTCTGGAGTTTTTTTTTCATCTTCAGGCGTCCAGTGCAGGGCCCATGCGAGAACCAGCTGCGTTTCGACCCCACGCAGATCTTAGTGAGTACGTTCAAACCTAATAAAATCATTCCTGCGGAACGCTGACTCCATTGACTACTGCTGTACGCGGCTGCGGTGGCAGGCCAGGTCGTAACCGCTGTCGGAAACATTACCTCTCCTGATGTCGTACAAACCACTGCCAATGGATCTCGGAGGTGATCTATAAGGTCACTTCGACATGTACTACACGCTTCACTCCGCATGAACTGGAGCTGCTGTCCCATTAAAGACGCAATTGAAAGGTACGTGGCTCGGTCATCCCTTTGTTAGACGTTGAGCACTACGACGTATGTAAACGGGACTTGGGTCAGATGTCTCTAGAGTACGCGTACAGTATGTATGCAACATCTAGTACGTCAAACTGTGATTGGCATATAATATAGAACACGTACACTCGCCGACCTCTTCAACGATTTGTTCGGTCAGGATTCTTAGGACTTCCCGACATGCCGACCTTGACCAAAGTGTAGATGGTAGCGGTAGTATGATATATGACACGTATAGTACAGTCATTAGAAGAATCATAAGTAAGTCGCTTAGAGATTAGTATGCCAATCAATAAGTGAGTAAGTAACTTCGTTAGATGGTAAGTTAAGGAAGTCAGTGAACTACTGTAATAGTGGAACTCTGAGGCGGATCAATTAAGCCGGTCACGCGTCACGGCGCGATCTCGCGGGAGTCGAGTCCGCGCGCTGCGCAACGCCGCGCAGACTGCCGCGCAGTCCGCTACAACACCTATTTGAAGCGATCTATCATTCTGCGCCGCCCCAAGCTTCACCTCAATCTACCACCATGTCGGGCGACGCAAGCTCCCAAGAACACCCAGCTACGCATGGTGCGGCATCTCCATTCGATCGCTGCACTGCAATGGTGGCATTGACGCGTGAAACATCCCGCCAGATGCCTCAGCAACCGCCACAGATACCTCACTCAACCTGGGCGCTGACCCTGGTGGAGACGAGGAGACTCCTGAACTGCCACCTCGCCTTGATTCTCGCGCTGAAGCATCCGTAGCTCCGTCGACCGAGCATGGTCCCGAAGCACCCGCCCCGACGGAGAATGAGCATCCGCAAGTCGCGTTGCTGCGAGGGATGTTCCCGGATTTCGATACTCTTATCCTGTATGCAACCTTCATGCTCGACTACGCGCGAAGCTCTGACCATTCGCGTGCATATAGCCAGTCCGTGCTCGAGTCCGTCAACTACGATCAAGACAGCGCGATCGATGTCTTGCTGGGGATGAGCGATCCGGACTACGTATCGTCCGCCACTCACGAGCAGCCTGTACGTTTTCTTCACTGTGGCTATGCTATATGTTCCTGATCCGTGTCGTGTTTCAGCAACACCACGACCTCGCCCTCGACGAGCAGCTCGCTCGGCAGCTTGCTTTGGAGGATCAGCAGCAGCAGCACGCGTCGGGCCAGTCATGGCCTCGGAGGAATGACGTGCCTTATCAACCAAGGCAGCAGGGACCTCAGGGACCACAGCAGCAGCAACAGCAGTACGTGACGGGGAACGAGCGCGGCGACCTCCAGGAGTTCCAGGAGACACTGGGCAAGATGGCTGAAAGTGAGTCCTTGATTTCTCCGTAGCATGTTCTAGTTTCATTTGCGACTGGTCGACTGACGTGCAACGTGCTGGGTAGGTGGTAAACGGACGTTCAGCTCGATCGTCACAAAGGCGAAAGCGAAGATCACAGAGTTGAACGAACAATACAACCAACGGTGCGCATACATTCAGCAGGCTCCTTCAAGTGCTCATGTGAAGATCAGGTCGGGCCAACCCCCAGTCAATCAGACCAGCCAGAGGGGCCCCGCTTCTTCATCGCAGGTCGACCGACACACAGCATCGCAGGCCGTCGCACAGCAATATTACGGCTCCAACAACCCTAACGCCCCGTACGACGTGCAAACACCGCCGGCCGCACTGTACAACCAGCAGCCCCAGTCAAGCACTGACGTCCGGGGATACGACGTTGGTTCTACTGGTGAGCCCGCCAACTGCATTATCCGTGATGCCGAATTGACTTGGGGGCACTTCGTAGCATCTCTACCTTCGACGCCAGGCGCCCGCACGTCGAGCCCACCAGCGACAAGCCGGATATCGATGTCTTCGCCCCGTCCCTCAGGTGAGGTCCCCCAGCCGCCGCGGACGTCTACCGGTAGCCCCATCGACGCAGGTAAGCCTTGTATTCCAGCCGTTCCATGCCGTTCTGCCCTACCCCTACCCGGCATGTCTTACACTCGCGCCCGTGCCTGTTCCTGAAAGCCACAAGAACGTATGCTCACAGCCGCGTGGCGTTGACAGCGAAACTCGGACTGCTCCCGAAACGCCCCGTGTCGCTGCTGATACCGCAGTCGACCACCGGCGCGGGGGCGATGCAGCGCCAGGAGAGCGAGGACGAGCTGGAGTATGTGGAGAACCCGTTTGAGGAGGGCGAAGGGAAGCGTTAATGCTGAAAGTTGGGTGGAGTATTTATGGATAATTTGAGATGGGATGGACTGCTGATTAGTACTTGTGTATGGAGTATGTGGGCGATGTTGTAAGATTGGGCGGAATCTTGTACCGAAACTACATACTCGTCCGTGACATTGAGGTCGATACTGAGCTGCTCCACGTATTGTCATCGACTTGGATGCTACGCTACAGGCAGCCGTGCACTGCTGTCAGAACACATTGACACGTTGGAGTTACACAGAAGGTTGTACTGTCGTTGCCTCGACCTGTACTCATCAGCATCGAGCCCTGTAAATCACCTGTACAACCCACATCACCGTGATGAGGCACATCGTGCACTCAGAGTTCACATGCGTTGCATGATGTCTTACAAAAGGGTCAGAGGTGTGTGTAGTGGGTAGCTGTGCACTGGATCCATTTCGGTTGGGAAGGTCAACGAGTTGCAGTTCTTCGCCAGACAGACCGAGGAATAACACTGAGGGCATTGGAAAGCGCGGCCCGATACCCACGTCAATTGAGAGTGCTTGAGTGCTTGACGGAATGATGATGGCAAACTCATATTTCTTCCTCTTTCCGTAGAGCAGATGGGTACTGTACACGGGCATTGATACGTCAGGTTGGGCCACCGCCAAACTGTTTTTCTTTGAGAAAGAGGTCTTCTATTTGCCGACCTGTATCTTCAGGTCTATCCACAGTGTGTCCTATGATCCGCGGGTCATGGAATATCTCAAAGTCATTCCCACCCTGAGGAAAATGTTGTCTGTACATATGACTACGAGGGGCGACAAACGTCAGATCACATACCTCGTGCGTCTTGTCACCGAAGTAGTGAATCTCGCTGTACCCTTCTCCCTCGAGATGCCTCAGCGCGTAAGTCTTGTCCCATCCACGAGGGAAAACGTCGAAGGAAGTGCGCCCTCCGATCGCGCACACAAGGTTGTAAGAAGGAACGCAGCCTTGAGGGCTTGTATCATCTTGAGCGTACTTGATGGACCTAGTCGTCGTTCGTGAGCTCCAACGTGTTTGGCGATGCCAGCAGACAGCTAGCCTTGTCATACTCGTCGAACATGTCCTGCTCCTGTGTTCTACGACTAAGATAAGTGACGATGCGCGGGTGTCAGATGACCCAACTCTGAACTGACGTAGTGTTGCGTCCCTGCGGACAGACGTTGATCAGTCCATCGCGAAATTCCACAAAGGTGCCTCTGAGATGTGCACGCTGTCAGCAATTGGAGCTTAAACGGTAAGCCGAAGATCACGGACCTCTTGATCGGAATATCGAGGTCGGCGATGTACCGCAGAATGAAATTGACTAAATTCTTGTAACGATCCTCGCCGATCAGATCGACGAAGCGTTCGTGCGGCAATTTGAGTCCTCTCTTATATGCAATGAGGCCGCATTCAGCGAACACGTAGTCAAAGTCCTCTGAAACTACGCTCTCGTTAACATGGACTTCAGACTATATACGGATAGAAATTCACCCTGAGAACCCAATTGCCAGCAGAGCTTCCTGTAGGTCGAGCCTCCTATAAATCCTACATCCATGACGCGCGCAGCTGTCGGAGTGTAGCCATTGTAGATGGCGCAGCCACCTAAGTATCCACCAGTGAGTCGTAGGTGCCACATATAGAGTTTCGGGGATAGACGAGATACTTGCTCCTCGAGGGGGGGTCACAGTGCCGTCCACGTCGAACAGTGCCAGTCGAGTGTGCTTAGATGGCATGTAAGACGGTCTGAGAACGCGACGTGATAGATAACACAGCGAGGCGGTTTGGAACGAAGTTAATCGCAAGGCCATAAGTATATCCGGTAGCCAAACCTGACAGCTGCAGCGCTGGCTCATTTCGGGAGGCCTAAGTGACAATGCTCAGTAGATGAGGGCCTGCCGCCGCCAGCAATCGAGATAACACACATACCCGTGAGCCTGCCCTGAACGTGAACTTTGAACGTTGAACTCAGGAGTATAAAGTGGCGACTCAGACAAGACTCAGACCGTGACTGAGCTGGAATGCGACATGTCACGCGTGATGAACCGCGTCGTGTCTCGTCGCGACTATGCCCTTTTGGAATTGTCACCTTTCGTTGCTGTCGGTATGTTGAATTGAATGTCGAACCGTATACTGCTGTTCCACGTCAAACGCGATAGACCATACCCTCAGTTTGCTTCAAGTACAAGATGCCTGCTTTGCCTCACACTTTGGTTTGCGTGGCTATCGACTGGGCAAACCATATATACCTCGCCGCCGATAGAATAGTCGCACGCACGCAGGATTCGGACAGCTCTGACAGCCACTCTCTGTGGCAGCTGCTCCGAGGAGAGATCACCACCAGGGGACACTGGACAGTGTACAAACTCGTATTTTCTGTGTGTATTCGCACAGTGCGGTACCAGTTATCGTCGTTGACACTTCTGCCAGGAACCACTCGGGCTCGCTCACCGTTGTGAGGCGTAGATCCCCGCGCGCTGCGTACACGCGTCGCGAAATTGGTCGCGCGAGACCGCCAGGAGTCTGGTAAGTTTCTACGCTTGCCAACTTGAACAAGTACGTCGCAAGCATCAACATCGCTGTGACAGGGGGTGGTCCTTCTGGAATGGCGTGCTTCATGATCCGGTGAACATCGTTGGTGACACATCTAAACTCTAGCGCTGCTGATTGACTTGAATCTGTTTGCGCATCGGCCTTGGCATAGTGCAAGGGGCCGAAAAAGTATGTACATCCCGTGCACACGGTACATCGTGTACGGAAGGTGCATACGTATGTACTTGGCAGTTATATGCCGAGGTCGTGGGCTAGTATAATCTTTTACAATGTGTTCTTGTCATGTATCCGAGTGAGTGCCACATATGTATTACCCGTACATGACTGACTATGTATGCGGAGGTTGGCGAATCCTGCGATATGTTAGGAATATTTACGGATGCGTACGTGGGCTCTGTCTATCAATCATGTCTGAAAGGATCGGCGCAATCCGATAACCCGCAGGTGTGTACGTAGCAACGTTCTCCACAAATCGCTGTGTAGTTGTTACATTGACATGCTAGAATATGTTGCACATGAAGCTGACAGGTCTTCAGTGCGCCACTGTGCGGTCTAGTGCGGTGCCACCTCAATATCACTGGGGACGGTGGAGACATCAACATAAGGTAAACATGGCGGAATGCTAGTCATCCGCATGATCGTGATACCCTGATGGCGAAACGATAAGCATCGACTTATATGCTCGCTACCTTCACGCACCCGTTTGAAGCCCGTCATGAGGAGATTCAACTTCACCGCCAGGACGACTTGGTCTCGCCTGCGACTGGACCGCAAGAAGGCTCTCAAGGCGGCGTCGGGAACACTCGAAACCCTTTCGGAGATCGCTCAATCAGTCCATTCCAATTTCACCGCTGATACCTGTGGTGAAGAATATCATCGAGGCTGCGCAGGTGCAGTGATCAATCTCTCATTGCCGTCCAGCACTAAGAACAACGACAGTGTGCGGTACAAAATGAAGAGGACTGTCTGCGCCTGACAGAACGTAGCGTAGACTTGCTGTCGGCAATCATCAATGAGACCGCTGGAATGCACGAAAGAACAACGGCCAAGATGAAAAGTAACCTTGACGTCTTGCTCAAGTACGTGTTCCAGAACCGGATGTAGTGCTTTCAAGACTGATAGGGGTTCAAGGACCCTAACAGAAGTAATGGAATTCGTTCAACAACAGCAAAAACGGTCGTTCGGGAGGCGGTTCATCAGTTCCAAAAGTGACGAGAGTCAAATCGTGGATCTCCACTCGCGAATCGATAATGCTCTGACTACTTTTGGTGTACGTTGTCACTGCATCTATCTATCGAGGCAGGTTCTGAGCAGCGAAAACAGCTGAAAGCTCATATAGCCGTTCAAGCGAAGCTGGACGAAATATGTCGTATGCTTGAAGTCGATGAGGCCAGTAAACTACCAATGTTGATTGGCCCGGACATGTGCTGATCAATCTGTAACAGACCACGCCAGAGGCGTCTAGGTAAGGAAGTAGCCGAGGCAAATATCCAATATTCACATCAACTTCGCAGCAGCAGCCCTCAATACCTTTTTCTAGTACCAGGTTACCCGCTCGTCCTTCCATCTTCTTTGGGCGCGATGAAACTCGCGAACATCTCGTAAAGATGCTCATTGGCGAAGAGTCGGCGCGCATCGCGATCCTGGGACCAGGTGGCATTGGCAAGACCTCTTTGATACTGATTGCAATGCACAGTGATCCTGTAGAGGAGACCTTCGGGATGCGCCGGTTCTTCTTCAGATGCGATGCTGCTTCAACTCCTCAGGGTCTACTGTCTGCTATAGCTTCTGAACTTCGCATTTCTGGAGAAGATCTGCTCTCCAAGGTCATCGCCTACTTCTCTTCCATTGTCGGTCCGACACTCATCGTCCTGGATAACTTCGAGACTTCTTGGGAGCCCTTTGAGACTAGGCAACAAGTCGAAGATATACTGAATCGACTTGCATCAATTCGTTCTCTCGTATTGGTCATCACTCTGCGTGGATCCGAACGTCCTCTTGGTCCAGTATGGACGCGACCTTTCTTGCCCCCTCTAAGGCCCTTGGACCACATCGCAGCAAGGTTAACCTTCTTGCTATCTCGGACGCTTCCCACGACGATCCCACAGTGGGAGCCTTGCTGCGCCACCTCGATAACGTCCCCCTCGCCATAGCGCTCATGGCCAATCTTGCTCAGTACGAGTCCACCACGAGCCTTCTGGACCGGTGGGACGCAGAGCACACGAGCATGCTAACCCGTGGAGTCAAAGATCGCCTCTCCAACCTCGAGATCTCGATCAAGTTGTCCTTGGACAGCCCTCGTATGCTCAGTGAACCCGACGCACGGGAGCTGCTCAGCCTATTGGCTTATTTGCCGGATGGCGTATCGGATGCGAAACATCTCGGGGACATTGCCCCTGCTCTATCCCATCCCATGCGATCCGCTGCCACGTTGAAGCAAGTGTCGCTCGCATACAGCGACGATACTCGGTACCTAGCAGTTCTCGCCCCAATCCGCATGTACATCAGAGAACACCATCCGCCCAATCGAGACAACCTCGCTGCGATGCGGCAGTACTACGAGAGCCTTGCGGATACTGCTGCTGGCATAGAAGGCGGGGAGAACGGCAGGGCTGTTCTGCAATTGCTCATCCCTCAGATCGGGAATATCCAGGCCATCATCGACGACAGCCTCGATCATGAATCGACGCCTGGTGGCCCGGAAACAGTGAAACTCGTACAGGCAGCCATTGACCTGACAGATCTGTTCCGATACACCGGGCTCGGTTCGTTGTCCTCGCTGGTCAAGGCTGCGGCGGTATGCGCAAAACGTGGCGAGACCCTCCTGTGGGCAGAGTGCACCCGCCATCAAGGAGAGCTGCTATATAGCAGATCCCAGCGGGACGATGCTACAGAGGCATTCCACAAGGCACTTCGAGTCTATCAGCAGCAGAGCCATCTTTCGGGACAAGGGAGGTGCACGATGATGCTAGGCATGCTCGGAAGCCAGGCAGGTGACTATAAGACTTCGGCGGGGCATATCGAAGCCGCCTTAGTGTCTATAGGGAAGGACAGGATGCACTAGGCGAGGTGGGTCCCCCGTCCAATTGAACTGCCTGACCTGAACCTTCTCCCTTGACTAGGCGGATTGTCTTCTACGCCTTTCTCAATCAGCTGCGTGGAATCGGGACTACGATGTGGCTGAGCCCATGGTACGACAAGCACTACAGGTGTTGTAGAGCATCGACATTACCGTGGCCGAGCTCGATGCGAATGGCTCATCGGATTCCTTCTCTACGACAGCCATGCTGACTATGACGACGCACGCCGCTTCCTACTCACGGCGGCGGAGAAGTACCATAAGTGGACGATGCGACGGCGAGGCAAATTCGCTTCGATCCTTGGCCGCTTGTCGTCGGTGCAGTATGAGTTCGGTGCCGCAGGGACTTTCTCCGGAAAGCGTACGATATGTACGCAGGGTGAAATGGAGATACGGACAAGCGGATTGTCTCCAGGCTCTCGGCGAACTTCAGCTCGCAGTGGAGACATCACGATGCCGGAGCAGATTCATCGCTTCCCGCGACCTCTACCAGGAGCTTAACCAAAAGGAGGCAGATTTTCTGTGCCCCGCGCTCGGCGATATTGCACTGTCCCTCAGGACCGGAGGGGGCGGTCGCGCAATATCAACGGTCCGGTCTTGAGTACCTCCGAGGCCGATGTGGCGCGCGTCGAATGCTGCCTTGCTCGTCTCGCGTGCACGAAGGTCGGTCGACGAAGCCAGGGATCTCTTCGCGAAGGCTCTGTCGCGGTTGGTTAGTCAGAAGAACATGGCCGCAGAGAAGGGATGGTGCATGGAGGGGCTTGGCGACGTCAATATGGTGACTGGCCTGACGATGAGGCCGGTTGCAATTCGAAGCTGCTCGCCAGCAATACCGAGAGGCTCGTGTGTTGCGCAGGGAAGCCGAATCAATTCGGAAACTCGGAACATCCGGATGAAGGCGTCGGCCTTTGTAGAGGCAAAGGGATTGTTCACGGAGGCCGTCAGGCTCTTTAATGCAGCGCATGATTCTGAAGGCGCAGAAGCCTGTCGCCAACAGATGAAATCATTGGAAGGCAGCGAGACGGGCTAATGGTTGTAGTCCACTGGTTGCCATTATGTGAGGTCGAAGGGAATACGCCGTCTGCGTCTGCCAGTGTTCGACGCATTTCGTATTATATATAGCAGAGTAACGCCAGCGAGTGCAGAAATTCTTCAAAAGAGGAACAACTATGTAGCACAGTGGCGATGTGTTGCACGAAGTCCATTCCGCTCACAAGCCAGCGAGTGTCTTCAGACGGTCGAAGTCTGGCGTGCCCAACCCAGTGACCTGCGTGCACAATATAGCGTCGAAATAAAAGACAAGACGTACAACGTACAGGGTCCCAACCAACGGCCGCGTCAAACCAGTCGTGTAGTTCGAGCACGCGTAGTTGTTGCCAGACGTGATGTCGGTGAAGCTCGACGAGCCGGTCGATACAAGAAGGGATTCAAGAAACCCAAAGGCGGTTTCCCGCGGAGAGCAGCTGGTCGTTCAGGAGCGAGATTATCGCTGCGAAAACAGGGGCCGACGCGCTCGTGCCATTGACTTGCTGCTCCTGATTATCGTGAATGATCGTGTAATACTCCGCGTATGCGGCAACATCCGGAAAACCGCGTCCAGTCCCATTATATAGGCCCGAGTTAGTGCTGCCCAGGGAAGAGACGTATGCGGAAGTGGCGGGACCTGGTAGTCTGGTGCGCTGAATAGGTTGGAGAATCCGCCACCGGAGAGCGTAGCGCTACCTCCGGGACGTTGTATGTGCCTCCCACGGAGGTAACACTGATTTCATTGTTTAGTGAAGGCCAGTTACTAGGAGATCCATCATCACTCACTAGGGACATGTTGATGGGAACGTAGGAACAAAAGTAGTGCATGACTCCGCCGGGGAATCGGGTAGTGCAATCCCGAGACACCGCCGTCCCCGCTCGGGAAGATCAGAGAAACACCACGAGCCCCCAAAGCTGCATACGCGTTGCACAGCGTACTGCATATTTCGCATCAGCAAAGCACGTAGATGATTCTGAGCGGCTGCACGCACGTTGCTAGCTTCTCGGAGACCAGGTTCTCGTCGAGCCCATAACTCGTGGTCACCGTCTGGGGCACGGTAGTGAGATTAAGCATGTAGTACGCAGCATCCAACAGGTAGTTGACGAAGTCATCGGACGATTCCGGGATGATGCCCGTGGACACGAACGTCGTCGGTACGTTTGTCGCTAATCCCATAGCGTATTCGAGATCCAGGGTCTATGGTGCCCATTCAAACAATCAGTACGTCATACGCCTGACATGATGTTGTGGTGCATACGGCTTCACTCTGACCGATACTACTGTTCTGAGGGTCGGTTCCGTTGTCCAGCAGGTGCAGGCTCCACGTAGTCGAGGAGTTCATGTCCGGGCGGTACGTCTCCAAAAACTCCTACATGGTAATGTGAGCGTACTTAGAAGCTTAGACGTAAGCACTACGACTGACCGATAGATCAGCTCTTTGTGGCCAGTCATCATCGTACCCACAGATAAACAGTTGACTAGATTCATTAACGGCAGGCGTAGTTGGGATGTTGTACAGATACTGCAAGCACGCAGGAGTAATGGCAGTGACATTGCAAGGCGACGTCGCGGTGTCTGAGGAGCGTTTGTGCTTCCCGCGAGAGTGTTGCTGCGGGCGAGATCCACGGCTGTGTACCGACCTGTGTGAGACCTCCATGACAGCGCTACTTCCGTATGGATTCGGAAACCTGGGCTGCAGTTTAAGCAGATGTTCACGTATGACATATTAAATGCTTACGCACGCCACGGTCGGGTGGATCAATTCGACATGATCGGCCAGATCAGGGGGATCGAGTAAGTGAGAGTACGGACAGCGTCCGTCCCGGTATCCTCGTGAGTGAAGACCGAGAAGTTTGCTCCAAGAAGGTCATTGGCCTGGCTGACAGGCAATTGAATTGCCATCCATTGTTCACCTGGCGAGATACTGCTCGCGTTCAAGCCATTCTCGCTCAGCCATTCGTTCACAGCCGAGACGCTCTCCGGCTTGGCAGCAGTGTATACTTCGACCTTGGTCCCGAGTAAGTCACACTGCAGGCAAACTGGAATGACAAACTCACCTCTTCTTTGGAGAGATACTTGCCGTATTTCGCACTAGATGGAGTACTCACGTCGTACAGAGCGTTGATGAGACCTGTAGTGTCGTTTTGCACCAGAGCCAGGCGCAGATCGAGTACAGTGTCAGCAGATGCGGATCCGGTAAGGCTGTAGCCACTGGGTATGGTGTCCCTTTTCTCGTGTACTTGGAGACTTCGGCGCGCTGGTGTACCGAGAGCCGCCGCTGTGAAAGCGGCGGCCACTAAAAGGCGAGATATCATAGCACAATGCCTGTAAAGAACGGAAGAGGACGCTCGTACGCGCCGAGATGTGGGGGTGAATGGAATTGAAACCCGGGGGAATATGCTCTCGCTATACTTATAGTCTAAGGCGACGGTGTACAATGCGCTCACGGAGCGAGGCTACAAGCGGGACGGAAAAGAAGCAGCACGATCAACGCGTGCGCAGCCCGCCATGTAGTAAGGGAGCCGCAGGCCGTCCAACCCTATAGGACGAGACAAGCGCATCAAGACGATCATTGGGCGGTGGAGGAAGTGCTTCTTCCGTGCAAGCATCGTTTGTCATGCGCTCCCTTAAGTACCGGGGGCGCTGGACATCCAGGCCGCACTTGGTTTCGATTGACGTTGAGGTCAGTATTGTATATATCATTGATGCGATCAGTACTTACACTTGCGAGTGTCGGCGGTGTGCTCGTGTCAGAGTAAGCCCTAGGGATCCGACTCCGCAAAACCCACCGACAGGGAACTCAACACATCACCTGAAGCGCGTCCTGGAGATTCCTCGTCTCCGTAAGTATGTGGGGGCCATGTGCATGAGTCGCAGGTACCCACGGTCCAAGGCTGTGCAACGTCTGCCGTCCATACCGGCATATAAACATCCTTCAAGCTACAGACTGATAAACCCCATCACTGCGTCATACGTCGCTATCGCTGCTACTCTCCGCTCTGGCTGTTCGCGGTAAGCGAACGCCCTGTATTTCGCTGCCTGTAGGCGGTTCAAAGACGTATCACGTGACCGCGTTGCGACTCAGGCCAACGGATCGAGCTGGTGGGAGGCTGGCGCAGAACAATATTGGTGGGTTGCTGACAGCGGTCAGAAACCTGAGCCAGCCGCATCTGCCAGGCTGACAGTCCAGTCGGGTATATAAAGACCTCGCAAACGTACCGAGTCGCCAACACTCCTTTCCTTTCCTCCCTCACCTCCTTCCAGTGGTCCTGTCATCTGTGAATTCCAAGCATTCGGTGCGTCGCCCCATCAAACATCAACCAAGGTCCCATACTCACCGGTCCGCGCAGGCGAAGGTAAGTAGTCTCCGTATGGTCTTGTGGTCTTGTGGTCTTGTGGTTCGTGGTTCGCGGTCCGCCTTCCCTTATGTACCATCCACCCATCGCGCCTGTCATACCCCTCCTACCTGTCCACCCAACTCTCGCTCATGTAGTGTTTGTGGGTTCGTTGCGGCAGCGCCGAAAGGCTGCTGTCCGCTTGCCCCCGCGTGCGGAGCACATGCCGCGGGTGGCCTACTTGGCGGCAGCACCGAAAGGAGCTGTCCGCTCGCCCCCGTGCCGAAAGGCTGCGGGTGGCGTCGCCCTCGTGCTGCGAGTGGCTATATGGGTTCGTGGTTTGCGTTTCGGGTCACCGTCTCCTGCATGTATCTCTTCATCGCGCATGTGTCGACCCTCCTGCCTGTCCATCCACCTCCGCGCTTGTCTTCGTAGGTAGAAAACCTGTGATGCCTGTGCAGTCTGTACCATCAACGGGTCGAACATGCTCCAGTTGGCGCGTGTGAGCCGTTGGTGGTACAGGTTGTGAACGATATTGTGAGCATGTATGCACTGTGACGTATGAATATATGAATACTCAAGTACTCAGGTTCAGGAAGCCCGTTCAATTCGTGAACTGTTGCGAATATTAGTAGTACCCACATGCGACGTGCTACCGACAGTCCTCGTATTAGTGCGATAGACAGGCGCCAGGTCCCTGCGTAGAGCTGAAGTGAGACGCTGCACGGCCATAGGCAGCGGTTTCTGCGTGTTATGTAGAAGGTAAGTAGAACCCGGGTAGAACCGAGATTTGCGGTCCCGACGGGACCGCTCGATACGGTAAGTAGTGAATTGCCGCGTTGGGAAGGCGGTCGTCGCGGCCAGCCACAGCTCCGAATCGTTTGAACTCTTCCTGATGGGCCTTCGCACTGGCTCTGCAAGCTGCAACGACTACCGACGGACGACGATGTTCGGCGAGTGTTTTCACTGCTCTGGTGCTTTCCTCGAGGTGACGCAGAATGTCCCCGAGAAGCGGCACCGTCGCTGCATGCGCTTTCACTTCGTTGCGACGCGCGCCCAAACGGCCGTAGTTGACGCTGCGCAGTAGGATCGGCATTACGACCTTCGGCAGAGGGCCATGCCAGGCAACTAACTGTTCCGCATCTTCGCCGATGCTGGACGGATCCCATACCCTCGAGCAGCTGACAGCGTCGCACGGCTATCATCTACCTTCTCAGCAACAGGAAGCACCGATGTAAACCAATGCGCTGCGTCTGTATCAACGGTATATGACCAGACTCGGTGCCGAATCTAACTCATACTTTTCCGGGTCATATATATACTCGCCGCGGCCGCAGTCCCGCTACCCCATCTGAGAGAATCTTTAAATTCGCCAAGCTGGAGCAAGAAAGCTTCGAGGTCTGCACGCTCCTTTGGCTCAAACATGCTCACCTCGTCCTTCTTACTCGGCTTGTTACTGCCTGCTCTTTCTGCTACTGGGGCCCCGTCTACGAGTCTGCAGGTGCATGAGTCGCGGGTGGATCCTCCCTCAGGATACACACTCACAGGGCCCGCCACGCCCGACACTGTCCTTACTCTTCGACTCGCACTTGCACAGGGCAACTCCTCAGGTCTCGTCGATGCACTGTACGACGTCAGCACACCCTCCAGCCCGAATTACGGCGCGTATCTCAGCAAAGAACAGGTCCGCTCCCCAGTTCTCCATCCCCCATCTGCTATCGCACTGACGCCATGCGCCCTCGTAGGTCCAAGCACACTTGGCTCCGACGAACGAGTCTGCGTCGGCGGTCAATTTATGGCTGAACGAGAGTGGTCTGCAAGCAACAGCGCTGTCCGCGGCTGGCGACTGGCTTTCGGTACAATTGCCCGTCAGCACAGCGAACGAGCTTCTCGACGCGAACTTCTCCGTGTTCACCCACTCCTCAACGGGCGAGCAGACCATTCGCACGCTGGCCTATTCGATTCCTACCGCCTTGACTGATCACCTCGACCTGGTGCATCCTACCGTATCGTATGTCCCAATTTTGGCACATCTTCAGCTTGTGTGTTAAATTCGTTCCCCATGCGATCCAGGTTCCCGAATCCCGGCAACAGTGCGCCTCTCACTAGCGTACCGCCATTGCAGCTCTCGGTAGATGCTGACACGGGTCCCTGCAATGTTAGTCTAATCACTCCGGAATGTCTACAATGGCTGTACGATATACCTACGACTCCGGCGACCCACGGAGTCCAACTGGCTGTCCCCGGGTATTCTGCGGAATGGCCGCAGGAGGCATATCTCAAGGTGTGTGGTGCTATATGCGCGTATGAGCGTGCATATATGCAGCCGCAAGCGACTCAATCCTTTACTAGGCATTCTTGGAGAAGTACCGTCCGGACATTGATTCTAATACGACCTGGGAGCTCGTCACGCTCGACGGCGGTTACGACCCACAGAATTCCAGCAGCATCAGTACCGAAGGGGTAAGCTCCGCAGCGAAACGCGTCCCGGCCTTTCGCTAAGCTCCTTGACGTCCCACGCATAGAACCTGGACATGCAGTGGACGCTCGGCGTCGCGACGAACGTATCCGTGCGGTTCATCTCCGTCAGCAACGTGACGGTCCCGACGGAGGACGAATTCGCGGGGTGGCTGCTCGACACGGCGCACTACATGCTTGGGCTGGACGACCCGCCGCAGGTGATGTCGACGAGCTACGGCGTCAACGAGGAGATGGTGTCCGAGAAACTCGCGCAGTGCGTGCAGCCCATCCGCCACTACCGAATGAGCTGACGCTTCAAAATGAAGGAACCTGTGCACGGCGTATGCGGGCCTTGGTGCACGGGGCGTGTCGGTGCTGTTCGGCTCTGGTGACGGAGGCGTCGCTGGGATCCACTATCCCGACGACACCTGCACGACATTCATACCGACGTTCCCCGGGGGTGTCCCTAGTAAGCACAGCGCACACCGTCGTTGCCACCGCCCACTGACCCACGACCCTGACAGCCTCACCTCAGTCGGCGGGACGTACCTCGTCCCAGAGACAGCCGCGGACTTCTCCGGCGGGGGCTTCTCCTCGGTCTTCGCCCGGCCAGCATACCAAGCGTCCGCCGTCGCGGGCTACCTCGACTACCTCGGCGACGCGAACGCCGGGCTCTACAACGCGAGCGGCCGCGCGTTCCCCGACGTTGCCGCGTACTCCGTCAACTTCGACGTCGTCTACGGCGGCGCGGAGGGCCCGATCAACGGCACGAGCTGCGCGGGCCCCACGTTCGCGAACGTCATCTCCCTGCTGAACGACGAGCTCATCGCTGCGGGCCGCCCTGTGCTCGGCTTCCTCAACCCGTGGCTGTACTCGATGGCGAAGTCGGCGCTGACGGATGTGACTGTCGGCAACAACTACGCGTGCTCGAACTTCACGACGGGGTTCAACGCTACTGTGGGCTGGGATGCGGTAGGTCCCGTCCTTGCGTTGAGACTCCGTGAATGTGTTGAGCTGAGACGTACGTCTAGGTGACGGGACTGGGCACACCCAATTACCCGAAGCTGAAGGCGGTGTTGGGTTTGTAGGTGCTTCTTAGCCATGGACACGACTCCTCCGGGACACTGTGCTCAATCTTAAACTGGGCTCTCGGACATAATCGTCATTCGTTCGTTTCATGGGCTGTCTGGCAGGAGTCCGCGACCCTTTATCTTCGCGTGAAGCCCCTCCGAACCTAGAGGAACTGACCATGCACCGGTGAGCATATTCTGAGGATCACAAGGAACGTGTAGGCTCGAGACCAAGTCGAAACGAATGCATATGATGGCAGCCTCTGGGAACAGCCGGCAGAACCACGACCCCGCGTCCGCAACAATGGACATCGTACATAATGTGTACTTACAGGCCTCCAACAGAGCCCATCAATTAGACATAGTAGCACTATAATGATCGCTCAGAAAAATAAATACCAGGACTATCGTCTATTGACCAAGATTCATGATTCACCAGTATAAGATTTGGGAGAGCACGACTGCCTAGGCTCAAGCCTTGTAGAGTGTATCCAAAAATGCGGTGGCCAAGTGGCCAACCATCGTCGGGCCAACAGCGCTGCCAGTTCCGAGACCTGGTCAAATACCATTAGCACACTTCTACTGGATCCCTAAGGGTGCCCCGCTCACCATAAAGCATAACCATTGTTCCTTTTCCACCTGGCTCGAGCTGCGCCTCCTTCACCGCGTCCTTCAAGTCCGCGATGAACTGGTCCACGACGGGCACCGTCAGGCGGGTCACGGCGATGTGCACCGCCGCGGGCGCGCTGAGCGCGTTGAGGTGCCAGCCCTTCTTCGCCATCTTGTCGCCGACCTCGAGCACGCTCACGCCCTCCGCCCGGCCCTTGCGCGCGGACGCGAACGCGACGACGGAGGCGCGCGGGTCGCCGAGGACGCGCAGCTCCGGGATCTCGGCGCGGATGCGCGAGGCGATCGTGCGCGCGATGGAGACGATGGACTTGCAGGACTCGAGGTAGCCTCTGAATGGTACGTCGGGATGTGAGCGAATGAAGCACGATTATAGGGTATCGGAGGCACGTACTCGCGTCCCATGTAGTGCATGGCCGCCCAGGTTCCCGCGATCAAGGAGCCAGGTCTAGCCAAGGGTTGAGACAACCATTCAGTACTGAGTATTCGTGAGGCTTACCTTGAGCCCGCAATGCTCGGACTAGCGTAGACCCCACCAACCCAATCCGGGTTCACGTAGTACTGGTACTTTCGGAGCTCCGCATCACGGTACATGATCACCGAGTTTCCTTTCGGCGCAAATCCGTACTGCACCATATGTCTCAGTAGGTTCACATCGACGGGTGCTAAGACGACGTACCTTGTGTGTGTCGCAGCTGATGCTCGTCACGCCGCGCACGCGGAAGTCGAAGGGCGGGAAGGGCCCGAGTCCCGCCTCCTCGATGAACGGCACGATGAACGAGCCCAGGCAGCAGTCGACATGCAGGCCGACGTTGTACCTGTCCGCAAGGTCGCCGAGGGCGGCAATATTGTCGGCATTGCCGTCAGGGAAGTTGATCGCGGAGCCGACGAGCTAGACGACGGGTAAGAGTTGAGCGCGATCGGAGGAGACAGATGGAGAGTGGGGCTGACCATGATGGTGTTCGCGTTGCTGGTCCGAGATGAGTAACTGTCTTACGATGATGTCGAGGAACGCGGAAACTCACATCGCACGCTTGACACGCTTCAGGTTGACCTGCCTTGTCTCGGGGTCGACAGGGACGGTGTGGACCTTGATACCCAGATACGCTGCGCCCTTGTCAAATGCAGCGTGAGCTGTCACCGGGACGATCCTGTTGAGACACTTCCCGTCAGCAATACCTCTCGCTAGGCGAGAGCAGCGCGTACATCTCCGGCTCGCGAATGCCCTTGACAGCCCTCGCCCAGTCACGATACGTCTTGCATGCCATGACGATGCTCTCCGTGCCACCACTGGTCGTCGTTCCCGCACCAGTGGGGTTGTTGTACATCCGCAGGCACATCGCGACAACCTCGGCCTCCATTTTACGAACTGCCGGGAAGACATCCGGGTGTAGCGGGTTCGAGAGCGCATACCGTTCAATTGCAGACAGGATGACACGCGTAAGCTCTTCGCCGCCGTCTGCATACGGGCGTGATCGGTCAGTGCGTCGCCTCGTCGGGCGAATAAGACTATACGTACGATAGACCGCTCCTGAGACCTTGCCCTCTCTCCAATCTGCGTGCGTTCCAGGCGCCTCATGGTCCATGGCCTCCATCTCCTTCACTATCCACTCTGGCGGCTGTCCGGTCGGTGGCAGGGCGAGGTGGCGGTGCACAGAAGGGCCTTCCGGGACCATGCCCTTCTCGATGTCCAGTCGTGCTTTGCCGAGCTCAGCGGAGACTTTCTTGCGCATGGAAGGGAGACGTAACGCCAGGAGGAGGACTTCCTGGGGCATAAGAGGTTAGATCATAGAATGAGGGGTCCGTAAGTTATAAAGGGAGTGAATGCGATCGGCTGCGTGCGATGAAGTGCTCAGCCGACTGGAAGGGAAATTACGGACATGGCGCCCCTCTGAGGACATGCGGCTGAATCTACGTCACTGTCGTCTCGAGCTGTCGACGCGAACAGTAGTTTATGAAGGCCCGATAGTATGACAGTTATCAGAGGAAGAGCGGTCTGAGACAGAAGGGATTCTGTGCGGCAGCTTTGCAAGGTGTGGGCCACCAAGTCACCGCTACTCTGCAATAGAGACTGTGAGCCTTAGCCTCTGCGGAACTCCGACAGTCAAGGTAGACATGTTCTTTGTCTACCAGACAGCTTAGTGAATTGACGAACATAAAACATCGACCAGCTACGGCACTTGTGCCGCCCCCAGTTGGCACCTCTCCATGCCGCTGAGAAAACGTAGCCCTCGACAAGCATGCTCGCCCGTCAGCGGTAAAGCTAGCACCACTATCTAGTTGGCGACATGTCGGCGATCAGTAACTGGACAGGCGACCAGCGGTGACTGGACAGCCTACACCACTACACAGGAGAAGACAGGGCCTCATCGACACCCGCAAAGGACACACACCTGGAAATCCATTTCCAAGAATCTACGACCGTCTGGGAAATTCCTCTCGCTCGGAGATGTCGGAAGGCCTTCAAACCGCGGGTCACGACGAGGTAGACGACAATGGCATCCTTGAGCAGCTCGAACGCGCTGCTGTTCACTGTGGCAGACAGCCTGGTTCGTCGGGCGACAGGTCCTGACATGAGATAGGTCGAGGAGAAGGTGAGGGGTCGCGGACAAGGGACGTGGACCCTGATATTGCGCTGGGAGTACTGCGCCGATCGGGCTCCCCGTGATTGCTCGTCTCGGTACCAACTCGGTACAGGATTTTCGTGATGTGACGGGCGCCTCCGCAACGTCTTCCTACTCACCATCATCCTTAACATAGGCTAGCTTGCTGAATGGCCGGCTCGATAAGTAACAGCATGCCGCAAAGCCAACAGGGCCTGACAGTACATCAACGAATGCGGCGTAGTTGTGGGCGGTGTAGACTGAAACCTGGCTTCAGTTTCTCCGTGCATGTGTCACAACGAAGTCTACGTGGTTGGGCCCCGCACAAAATGTGCGTATAGGAGCGGAGGTCGTTGGTCGTTGGATTTCAGTGATCCAGACACTGCGCCGCTCAATCTGGGCCGCCGCAGTCAAGGTCGCGGCTGCCTGGCTCAGCCTGGCCGTCGAATTCCGCTGCGCCCGGTGTGATCCCATATCAAACCCGCTGGACTGCGCCTATGCGTGTTTGAAAGGCGTGGGGCCCTAGGATGTGGATATAGCCGTAGAGCCTCACTACCGTACGCATGGTAAAACACTGTTGATTTGAGGTGCCCGCTGTGGCTGATATCTTTGCGTTCATGATGCAGGCTTTGCGGACACCCGAATACACCGCATCACGTCGCGAACTGGTCTGCATTTCAGAATTGTTATTCCTACAACAGGCTGCCATTACTGGTGACACACGCCGGTACCATCACAGTCTATACCACCGACGGCTGACGCGCGCCTACTGGAGCGGGTCCGATCCGTCAGTGGTACAGACTGCACAGGCATCACAGGTTTTCTACCTACGAAGACAGGCGCGGAAGTGGATGGACAGGCAGGAGGGTCGACACATGCGCGATGAAGAGATACATGCAGGAGACGGTGACCCGAAACGCAAACCACGAACCCATATAGCCACTCGCAGCACGAGGGCGACGCCACCCGCAGCCTTTCGGCACGGGGGCGAGCGGACAGCTCCTTTCGGTGCTGCCGCCAAGTAGGCCACCCGCGGCATGTCTCCGCACGCGGGGGCAAGCGGACAGCAGCCTTTCGGCGCTGCCGCAACGAACCCACAAACACTACATGGCGAGAGTTGGATGGACAGGTAGGAGGGGTATGACAGGCGCGATGGGTGGATGGTACAAGAGGGGAGCCGAACCACACGAACCACACCACAGACCAAGCCGGAACGGAATCCACTCACCTTCATCTTGGCTGGCTGAGGATACATGTGAGTATGAGGCAAGGGATGAGCAATGTTCACCGTGGATAGCCCGTGCACGAGTCCAACAGCGGGAGGAGGCCGTCGAAGGCGGAGAAGATGGAGGAGGGAAGGAAAGGTGAGTTGACGATTCGCTCTGCTCCAGAGGTCCTTATATACTCTGGCTACGGTGTCAGCCCGGCGGACGCGGCTGGCTCACGATTCTGACCGCGACCAACGTCCCGCGTCAGCCTCACACCACCGCCGAGAACGAGAACGAGATAAATTCAGCAGACTACGCTAATTACAGCTCAGGTCACGTGGCAACCTCGTCTACTGTTACGATGCAAAGGGAGAACACAATCAATGGGCTGGGATCAAAATGGGCTGGGAACACAAAGAACAACACAATCATAATGGACTGGGAACAGAAAGGGTTTTCCAGATCAGGTAGGCGATTGCAGAGTGTCGAGGTGGGCGAGGTGATCGGGAAGTGCGCTCGCGGCGAGAGAATGCATACGCGGTGGGTACGGGCTCGTACGTCGCTTGTAATCTCCCCATATATGTACGACCTGCTAGCTGACACCGTACCAAGCGCGACGCGGTCACGTGAAACGTCCCGTTCACGGAAGAACCCAGGCTATACTATACCTTGGAGCCTGTTACTCCGTTTCATTGAATCATCGTTCAACTGGCTGGCACAGGAGGCCCAGCAAGAATGCACGCGTAGTGCTCGAGTACAAAGGATAACGTTCATGCCAGAACGGGCACTAAGCATCTGCCAGGTGCACCTCGACATGCATTGATATATGTACAAGTAAAATTATGACTTACTGGTATAGTACAAGACGACAAGCTGTAATAGTGGTGATCTAGACGTCTACGATGTATCAGTGCTGTCCGTATTGCCACGCTATCTCGCCTCCGCCCATCTACGTCCACTGCGTGCCCTTCACCTTTACGAGGAAATGTCTCCCTATACACGTGAACCCAGCGCCAGCCACCATCACGACCTGCATTGACCGACTCATGATCAGCCAGCGCTCAACATGGGGTCTCACACGAGACTTACCCCGCTGAATACGATCGGCTTGGGCCACTGCAGCACGGAGCCTTGCCCTAGGAGTGCCCCGTCGATGGGCGTCCCAGTCAGCATGGCGAACGAGACGATGCAGTATCCGAGGCCCATTCGGATCCTATAGAGATAGACCGGTGAGCATGCTGGCAGCTATCCAGAATACGGTGACGTACCCAAGCTCCTCAGGTTTATTCCCCAGCACCGCGAGTACGCTCGGTACGAGCGCAATATCTACACAGGATTCGAGTCAGCGATCGGAGAGCAACAGATGAACACGGCCAGGGGTCTGCTTACATGCGCCCGAGAAGAACCCGTACAAGATGGAGAAGACGATGACCGCGGCGGTGTTCGTCACGCCGAACATGACGAACACGAGCGCGCCCATGATGAACGAGACGGGGATCACGACGTTCAGGGCCCCGAAGTAGTCGGCCAGCGTATTCGGGATGACCCGCCCCGGGACGGAGGCTGCGTTCAGGATGGCGATCTGGGCACAGGTGAGGCTGGGGCGTCGGCGGACGCGGGAGGGGGCGTACCGTGTAGAATGCGAGGGTGCTTGAGAGCCCGTGCAGGTTGAGCCAAAGTTGGATGTAGAAGTCTGTCGATGTCCGTTTGTAAATGAAAAGTTTTGGGAAGACTCGTGCTGGCACTTACATGGCATGAAGAGTCCCCAGTACACTAGGAACACTCTGCGGATTCGTCAGCATTGACATCTTACTTCGCATGTACGTATCCGCTTACCCAAACACTGTGAACACGAACGACGGGTCCACCAACGCGCCCCAAATGTTCGGCTTCGGCTGCTCTCCCCGTTCCTTCGCTCCGGGCACCCTCGTCCGCATCAAGAACTGCGCGATTACCAGCAACCCAAGCGTCAAGAACCCCGACGCGCGCACGCCCCACGCGAGTCCTATCGCGCTGTTCCCGCTGATCAAGCGGTTCAGCATGATCGGGTAGATGATGCCGCCGCATCCTGAGCCGGTGACGACGAGGCCGAGCGCCATGCTCCGCCGCTTCTTCCAGTAGTGCCCTTGTAGGGAGAGCGCGGGGACGAGCATGAACCCGCCGCCGATGCCCATGCCGATACCTTGGGCGAGGAGGATTTGGTAGTATTTTGTCGGGTCGGATAGGGAGAGCATAAAGAGACTAGAGAAGCGGTGTTCGCAGTGTGTTCGATCCGCATATATGGAGGTACGCACCAGAAGAGGTATAGAATGCTCCCGAGGAGGACCTCGGAGTGGAAGTAGCCCGCGTCGAAGAGTCGACCGGCGGGGAAACCGACGAAGAAGATGAGGAACAGCTGCAGGGAGCCTATCCAGCTGATGTTGGACGAGGTCGAGGTGCCTGCGAGCACGTAGTAGTCTTGGTAGACACCAAATGAACTCGCATAACCGAACGTGCAGAAGGATACCAGCGCCCTACTTGCGTTCATGAGCGAGGTGAATCTCGGGGTACAAGCTAATACGCACCCGCCAATGGTAGCACACCATGCCTGCGATCCACCGTCGGGTATGTTGTCAAGTTGCTGTGAGATATCTGCCTCAGCATCGGCCCTCTCTTCGGGCAGAGTCTTGGCAGAGTTGAGTTGTTCAAGCTGGACGGAGTTGATCGTGGTATGGTCGTCCAGAGAGCCGTTTGAGCTCATCGCAGTGTGAGACATATTGCAAGAGCTGCTCCCGCAGGGTGATCCTTAAGAACACACAGGTAGGCGACCGAAGGGTGTCGCCATAACGTTCCGCGGACGGACCTGGTCCAGCAAAGATGAGCAGGCTCGGTGCGACGGCAGGCCGCCGTGCTGTAGCGGGACGCCAGTTGTGCCGCCGGAGACAGAGTCTGGAGGGATTCCGCGCAGCCTCGCGAGTCATTGAGGGTTATGACGGAGAGCGAGGTCCGGAACAGAAAGGTCGGGGACCACTGCAATCTACGGAGGTCTCGGTGCCCGCTCTCCGTCGGCTCGGAACGACGTCTTTCGACGGAGAGTTGTGGCTTGCTGGCCCATCCTCCGTTCGTAGAGCGCTGTAGATGCTGCGGTGCGTTGGGAGAAGTAGTTCAGGGTATTAACCAATCCAGAATGTACTCAGCACTGGCTGCTGGCAGTGCTCAGTGCGGATTCGTGGCGAGTCGGGCGGCAGATGGAACGGACGATCGGCGCGCGATCGAGGTCAGTTCCAGCGGAACCCAGTCTTCCGCACATCACGCCACCGTGGCATGGGCAGCCTGTGTGCAGTCCGCTCGGAGAGCCTTCTCGACTCGTCGGAGTCCCAGCCCAGGCAAGGCGTTCCGGGTCGGATCCTGCCTACACCGTGTCGAACATGCTTTGCGGCTGGAGGGCATGCGGAGTTAGGCACACTCTCACTGACGTTCGAGCCTCTGCAGTGGGTAGATAGCAATCCGAGCCAAATGCTAACGAAAAGTCTTAACATGAATCTTCGGCATTCTGTATATGTCATTGAAAGAAAATGAATACTGGGGATATCGACGGCAAGCAAAAATACATCGCACCAACTGTGGTTGTACAGGAAATCCAAATGCAGAGCAAGTAACCCCGAAGATCCACGTACGCGACGCACGGACCTCATCCCCGAGGTCACTCACAACCTCGTAACAGACCACACCAGCATCTGGTAGTTGACAGTTCCCGGCAGCTCCGCGCGCTGGGCCGCCTCGACCCATGATTTCGAGACGTCCATCTGAACCATATCCTTCGCCACCCGCAGGACTACCTCCACCCTCACCTTTCCCTTCTCGAACACCTCCCCGTCCCACAGCTCCTCCCAGCTCTCCGGCGAGTGGCAGAACATCTGCGTCCCCGACCGCAACGTGCGCCGTTCCAGCCACGGGCCCTTCTCCGGCTGGCCGGCGTGCACGCCCACGATCATGGACCCGGGCACGGGCGAGAGCAGCCCGGCGAGCTTGCGTGCGAGCTCGAGCTGCTGCTCCTCATTGAAGAGGTGGAAGAACGAAGACGCATGGATCGCGGAGACGTGCCCATTCAACGGGCTGAGTGTCCTCAGGGCGGCGAGCGCGGGCGGGGGTGTGGTCGGTGGGGTGTCTAAGATCGGGCTGCCCTCGAAGAAAGCCGAGTCGAAGGCATCACCGCCCACGAAGTGGGCGGGGAATTCCTCCGCTGTAGTTCTGAACAGCTTGTGGCCGAGGTCCCAATATTCTGCCATCGAGGTCAGCCTTCCATTTGCTTGGTGATATTCTCGGGCTGACCTGGGTGCAGGTCTGACGCAATGGCGTTCTCGACGGGAAAGCCATCCGCCACTGCCTTCCGAACATCAACTCCGACTGAGAGGGCAGATTCAACGAGCTTGCACCCAGACAAGGTTGACGTACGTACAGCAGCATCCTATGTCAAGCAGGATGGCGCCCTTGCGCTCCTTCCCAAGTTTGACAACCTGGTCGTACGCAGGAAGACGGCTGGCGACGAGCCTTGAAAGATTCGCGTTGGTAAGCAGGTATCGTTGGAGATGAATCACAGCGGAGACGCACTTCGTGAAGGCAAAAGCTCTGATGCAGGTGTACGGGGTAACCTACGGACGAAAAACCGGTCAGACGCGCCTCAACGGTGCTCAACAGCTGATGCAACAATCACCTTCAGAGCCTCCGCCTGGACGCTCATGATGTGGCGCTTGAGTTCTTCCTCATCCTTGATGCCAGTCTGCGCCCGGAAGAACGCGAGCTCTTCCGGCTGAAGGTAGTAGAGCTTCTCGTATAAAGCTGGGTCATAGTCAGTCGTTAGATTCTCCGCCGACATGTCTAGGATCTTCGCGGTGTCGTTCGACTTTGTACTGAGAGAGCTTTCGGGGACTGATACAGCCCACCCAACTGAATTCTGTGCCCTTTTAGCTGCCTGAAAAGAGCGCTGCTCGCTCATCTCTGTTGACTGATGGTGGCCGGCAGAGATGCCAATGCCCCGGGCGGGGCGTACATGGCCCAAGAGTAAGCGGCCATTATAGCGCTCGGCGCGTCGCACCGCGGCATCGTCGATCATTGAGTCTTCGATCTGCCATTTAGGCTCTCACGGCAACTGCTCTGAGCAAAGAGGCCCGCGGTGGCCTGGTGAATCTGTTTGAGCAGGTGTGTGAGCTTGTGAGCGGGCTGTTTGTGGCGGTGAAATGGCCCACGAGGAATCTTCTCCCTACGAGTAAAAATATACTCAGGGAATCATGTACTAGACCGGTAAGTCGACTTGAATAGTCATCGTGCCGATACAATCTAGGTGGTCATGGATGGAACATGTTCTGTTAGACGAAGCACCCTTTGCATATAGCCCAGACGGCGTGATATCGTTCAGCGCCCACGCAATCAGAAGCGCATGCAGCGACGGTGCCGCATCTCGTAGACATTCTGCGTCACCTCGATAAAAACACCAGAGCAGTAAAACACTCGCCGAACATCGTTGTCCGTCGGTAGTCGTTGCAGCTTCCAGAGCCAGTGCGAAGGGCCATCAGGAGTGCTTCAAGCGATTCGGAGCTGTGGCTGGCCGCGACGACCGCCTTCCCAACGCGGCAATTCACTACTTACCCTATCGAGCGGTCCCGTCAAATCTAACCGTCCCCATTCACTGCGGACAACCTGGATTGTGCGAGGCGCTTACATAGGCCTAACATTGCAAGGGCGTGTATATTAGTAAGCCATCAAGTGAACTTCCCTAACATGGGAAGTACATTCCTAGAACATGGCACGATTTCGGAACATAGGAAGAACATAACACTTACATTCCCAATTCTAGGAACATTCAAAATGTTAGGCCGAACAAAGGAATCCCATTCCCTATGTTAGGAGCTCCGACTTAGAGCCGTAAAAATATACACGCCCTTTCAATGTAAGTACCATGTGAGCGCTTCGCACAACGCGGTTTGTCCGCAGTGATTGCCAGTTCTACCTTCTAACACGCAGAAGCTGCTGCCTGTGGCCGTGCATCGTCTCACTCCAGCTCCACGAAGGGACTTGGCGCCTGTCTCACGTACTGAGACGGTCTTTGTAATGGGGAATGTCGGTTACTGCGCAAGAGCGCGTCGAATGTAGGTATTCGCAACAGTCTACGAATGGAACGCGCTTCCTGAACCTACTTGAGTATTCATATATTCATACGTCACAGTGCATACATACTAAAAAATCGTTCACAACCTGTACCACCAACGGCTCACACGCGCCAACTGGAACGTGTTCGACCCGTTGACGGTACAGACTGCACAGGCATCACAGGTTTTCTACCTACGAGGACAGGCGCGGAAGTGAATGGACAGGCAGGAGGGTCGACACATGCGTGATGAGGAGATACATGCAGGAGACGGTGACCCGGAACGCAAACCACGAACCCATATAGCCACTCGCAGCACGAGGGCGACGCCACCCGCAGCCTTTCGGCACGGGGGCGGACGGACAGCTCCTCTCGGTGCTGCCGCCAGTAGGCCACCCGCGGCATGTGCTCCGCACGCGGGGGCAAGCGGACAGCAGCCTTTCGGCGCTGCCGCAACGAACCCACGAACACTACATGAGCGAGAGGTGAATGGACAGGTAGGAGGGGTATGACAGGCGCGATGGGTGGATGGTACAAGAGGGGAGCCGAACAACGAACCACAGACCAAGCCGGAACGGAACCCACTCACCTTCGGCTTGGGCTGCAGGATACGTGGTGAGTACGAGGTAAGGGAATAGAACAATGTTCACCGCGAGTAACCCATGCACGAGTCCAAAAGCCGGGAGAAGGGAGTCGAAGGCGGAGAAGATGGAGGTGGGAAGGAAAGGTGAGGTGATGATTCACTCTGCCCCGGAAGTCCTTATATACTCTGGATATGGTGTCAGCCAGGCGGACGCGGCTGGCTTCGGTTTCTGACTACGACTGACGCTGCAAGTCAGTCCCACACGCGGTGTGCCCATCCACGACGCGGTCATGTGATCGCGTATAACCTCGTTGCGATCCGAGGAGACAGTAACCCACGAGTGGACATCGGCTGTGCTTAACTCCACGACGCGTAGCGAATATAGTCAAGTATGTATATCTAGCCAGGTATCCGTCTATATAAATTTGAAGTTGTCGGTAGGGCAGCACTCGAAGATGCTGCGCAAGCCTGTCACTCGGTTAAGGGTGACACGAGGAGTCAGTCTCGTTGGATACGGAGTGATGGCATTGCATAGGTGCCTTTGTAGCGAATAACGGGACATTGGGTTCCTGGGCGGTGCCAACGTCTGAAAGCCCGATGCGGTCATGCGAGTCAAATAGTGCGGAGGCGCAAGCCATATTCGTGATGCATTTCTAGCATAACGCACTCAAACCCGCGTCGCCAAATGATACAGTGTGATACCACTAGTCCCCAAATCAAACCGTTGATGTAGTCCGAAATATGGCTACAATCCCAGTGCCGCCTTCAGCCTCGGATAATTCGGCGTGCCCAGACCCGTCACCTGTTACACATGCGTCAGCCTCAACTATCGTTGTATAGACGGGCCACTTACTGCGTCCCAGCCAGCAGTAGCAGTAAACCCAGTAGTGTAATTAGAGCACGCGTAGTTATTTCCGACCGTGATATCGTTCAGCGCGGATGCGCCCGACGAATACAGCCACGGGTTCAAAAAGCCCAGTGCAGGACGGCCCGCCGCGAGGAGCTCGCCGTTAAGAAGTGACATGACACTTGCGAAGGTTGGGCTCGCGCAGCTCGTCCCACTCACGCCGCCCTCCTCGCCTGCATAGAGGATGTCGAAGTCGACAGCGTACGCGGCGACATCGGGGAACGCGCGTCCGTTCGGGTTATACAACCCTGCATTGGTGGCGCCCAGATAAGTCAAGTACTCTTCAACCGCGGTGTCTTGGTACGTGGGCCGGTCAAAGAATGTCGAGAAGCCTCCGCTCGAGAAGTTCACGGCCGTCTCCGGGATGAGGTAGGTTCCGCCAACCGATGTTAGACTGTTTGTGGCCGATGTTAGTGCACTGTAAACTCTATGCCGTTCACAGGACTTACTATGGGCATCCAGAAGGGAATGTTGGGATGAAGGTCGTGCATGTTTCCTCGGGGTAGTGCAGGCCAGAGACGCCGCCGTCACCAGAAGCGAACAGCACAGAGACACCGCGCGCGCCCAAGCCCGCATATGCGGCACACAAAGCACTGTACAATTACACGTGATTTTTGGTGTTTTTCCGTGGTATGCAGGAGCTTATACGTACTATGCAAGATTCTCGGAAATGTACTCCTCATCATCGCCGTAGCTTGTCGTCATCACCTGTGGGGGAGAAGGCACCAGCATGTACAGCGCCGTATCGATGAGCGTCTCGGCGAATTCGTCGTCCGTACCGTTATCGGTGTTGCCAACGGAGATGAAGGTGACGGGTACGCCTGTTGCGAGGCCGATCGTATACTGAGTGTCGAGGTTCTGCATGGCGGATTGCTTCGTTAGCTGGCATATCCTCGAGCTATCGAAGGAACAGCGCTAACCGCTTCAATGCCTGCATCATTAGGACTCTGAGGGTCTGAGCCACCATCCAGCGTCACGAGAGTCCATGTCGTCGTGGGTTTGATGTCCGGGCGATGCTCTTCCAAAAACGTCTACCAAGTGTCAAATTTCCTTGACCGCCAATATGTACGCGCATAGGCAGGCGCCACGCACCATCAAATCCGCCTCCTTGGCCACTGCTCGATGTACCCAGTGACGGCTAAAGCATTCCCGTCGCTTACCTCAGGCGTGGTCGGAATGCCATATAACCATTGTAGGCATGCGGGCGTGACGAGGTCGATGTTGCATGGACCAGTGCTGACCTCCGAAGTCAGTCCGGATGACGAGAAATCGGTGATGGGCATGTGGCTGTATGGGTTGGGGAACCTGAACCGAAGTCAACGACACAGGCTCAATGGTTAGGAGATGTGCGAATGAGTAAGCACAGAACCAACGCACGATACGGTCGGATGCACCAAGTCGAGATGACCCACTAGATCCGTGGGATCGAGTACGCAAGCGTACGAACAGCCTGCTTGCCAGTTGTGGAGTGGGTGAAGACAGAAAACTCCGCGTCAAGAAGTTCATCCGCCTTGCTGACGGGCATCTGTACTGAGAGCCAGTTGCCAGCCGATGAAAGCGTAGTTGCTTGCAATCCATTTTCAGCCAGCCACGCATTCACTGCTGAGGTACTCGCAGCAGTCGGTGCCATGTATGCCTCAACCTATGAATATTCAATAAGGATAGGAGATTCCCCAGAAGACAATATGAAAGCGTACATCTTCCTTGCTGAGGTACGCTCCGTAGCTCGCGCTCGAAGGCGTGCTGACGTCGTACAACGCATCAACAAGCCCTGTATAATCACTTTGGGTAAGGGCGAGACGAAGTGTGAGGACGGCGTCCGGGGTCGCAGATCCAGTGACCGTGTATCCCGAAGGAGGGCTCGTGCGCGATTCCTGCACCTGCATACTTCGTCGCATAGGCGTACCCCAGGAAATGACAGGAAACAGCAGGGCGAGCAAGAGCGACGAGGCGATCATCTTCGGGTTTACCTTACGGACACGCGACCGCGAGTTTCAGCCGACTCGACTTACAAGAGGTCGTGAAGAAGCCTCGAGAGCATGCCCATTTATACGACACCGCTTGAGCTATATTCGGCACCGAGGGAAATAAGCGGCTGATGAAAACAGATAAGTAGTCAGCGACCATTGTTCGGCGAAGCAGCTGGCCAAGCGTAGGTGCACAGTGGAGACGAACGCATCAGAGAGGGGGTTACCACTTGTATGTTCTCATCAAGCACCAGCATATCTGGATATGTCAAATGCAGAGTGGACAAGGCGCAACACAAAGTACAGAACGTGCCTTACAAGAATGGGACGTACTAGGTCCGGCGCTGTTGCAGATACGAAGAGAACGAGTCTTACGAGATGCAGTTAATTGACACGGTCTAGTACGGGAAAGGCGTTCCGGGTACATATTTTCATGTCGCTGCCGAGGTAGTACTGCGAAAGACAGACAACAGCTTACCCACTAAGCCGTGCGCTTGACCCACCCCTCTAGAGAGCTTCCAATACCAGCACGGATGCCACGGATGCGGGGAAAACAGGCAGCCTAACAGCTCGGATATATCACAGAAGCCCGCCAGGCAGTCTCTTCAGTGACAGAAAGGCGCACAGTATTTGACGGTTAGATCATTTAGACGCGCGTCGGCGTACCTTCTCGGTCACGTGAATCAGTAACGCCAACCAGCCTGTGAAGCTTGTGAAGAACGAGTTGTACTGAGATAACGCTCGCCCTCCACTCCAGCTTGCGTTCGCAGGCTGAGACCACAACTACAGCATAGCTCGGCCTCGAATAAGCGCAAATGAGTGGACGCAGCGCATTACCCTATGTATAGATCATCTGTAAAAGTACATTAATATAATGAAGTTGAGTGGGAGCAGAGACAGTGCGGGGGCCAGTAATTCATGAGCGACAATGCTCTGGCCACGAGAAAATTGACCTAGGCCACGGCTAATCCAGCGAGGTGCAAACGGTGGACAGCTTGCCAGCCACCTCGCTAATTAGCCGACAAGGAATGCGCCGCGAGCGATCGGGTGAGACGTGAAGGAAGGCATGAACGGGACAGGTGAGGATGGAGCGGTACAAAAATCGATGTTCGATCGACTTGAAGGACAACACTGAGTAGTCACCGCAGATTCTGGAAAGTATTTGTCTCTAACAGGATCCCGAGTGTGCTGCACGTTGGCATGCGCACAGACGGTCGGCAGGTTTGTTGTCATCGAAAAAACTCACCAAGGCTGATCATAGCGGTGACTCTTGCATGTGGGTTTGAATGATCCTCTCGTTCTTGGCATGTATGCAGACAGACTGTGACTGCAAGAGGTGAACAGTCAAGGGCAGATGAGGTATTGTCGAATGCGGTGGTCTGCGCAAGGCTGCGGCTGCGCCCGCTGGGATGATTGACGGGCCGGTCCCGAAGTTACACAATTGGCTAGAGACGATCCCGATCTCGCATTGATACTGAATGAAGTGTGAAGACCGGAGACGTGGCGAACACGGAGAACCTGACCCTTCGTAGAAGCCACCTAGAGCTTCGCCGCTGCTAGGCAGAGCAGGCTGTCGGAATGAGGAGACGACTTACGGATTTGGGGAGCCATGGAAGTGATAGAACCCGGCCGCGGAACCAAAGTACGGCAGCTACACCACTGCCGAGACACGGCTGTGCGGGAAGACGAGAGCAAATAACAGCCGAGGTAAGATGTATGCGGCGTAGCTTTCGCGCATCGTCGCCGTTGTCGGTCCAGAATGTAGAGATAGTGATTGAGCAGAAATGCCACCAACTTGCTTGAGTGATGTTCTAGCAGCGGCGCAGACCAATATCAAACCTTCACTCGCGCATCTTCACCGGAGATACCGGGTGGACAGCCATGGAGTGATAACTGGGTTTGGCTTACGCATTCAAGTTGAGGAGATCATCCCCTTTCAGGGAGACTAGTGCCGAGTCCCCGAGTTGAAAGGACACGCCTATCTTTCCAGGAGCATCTCGCCACGGGCCAGACCGTCGGCTGCGAGCCGCATATTCCTTCCAACCTGCTCTGGTTCCACTCGGAAGGAGGTTCCATTGTTCAAAGGTGCCAACGGCACGTACTGGTAACCGATTACAACTGTGGGCCACGCTCCCTGAGACAGCTTCTTTGCCTGCATCGCTTTAGGTACCGAAAGGAGCCACATGGTGAATCGGGAGACCATCAGAACATGTTGGCGTGATGTAGTACTCACCCTGTTGTTATGATTGTTCGCAGGTGAGGACGACGAACCATTTTGCGATAGATACATTATAGTTCAGGGTATTTGTGGGCGTAGCTTGAGCTTGCACATCGATGGTCCAGATATCAGAATAATCTGCCAATGCGGATGTGTCTATATCGCCGTCAAGGACAAAGCATTCCCTTAGAACCGAAAGGAAGCACGGACCGTAAGTTAGGGTTGCTGCAGCGCATGGTTCAGGTGCGTTCTACGTCCATACTCAGAGAAGCAATCATTCTAGTATGGCTTTTACTTGAGACTGAGACAAGCCGTACAGATTGATAACAGCTTGAGGCGACCCTGTACGGCTAGTTCATGCTGGGTGCTTGTCTGGTACCAAAAGTCGTACATCATGGAAGAGTCGTTTAGCGAGACATACAGACTGAGGTAGAAAGAGACACCTAGTGTGCACAGGCAGACAGAATTTTGATGCAAGATGCCACCACCCTTGAGTCAATCCGACAGATGGGAACACGTCAGTGCTTCCAATCGCGTTCTGCTGCTCCTGTAAACCGGAAGTTGAGTCACCAGAGATAGCCAAAAATGCAATCTGACCACCCATCATATCGTATCGTATCGCTCAAGCACGATTGTGGCCGTGCGATCCTGCGTGCAGCGACGTAAGTATCGCCAAGCCAACACTGGATATTATCGAGTGGGAGAATTCAGTGACAGACGTAAGCAGAAGGCTAAGAAGACCACTCACGGTATGTGCACCCTCGCTCTCAAGGCTACTACGTCACAGTCGGTTAGAAGCACAACCCCATAACTGCCAGCACGGTTCACTAGAAGAAGATATCATGATCGCACATACAGCAGTATGAGATGCTGTTCGCAAACTCCGTCGATACCTCGACCCGTCGGCGGCCTGTGCGGTATCAGTTCATAAACACGGCCCCCGAGTCCGAGATACCTCGTAGTTGTAATTGAACGAGATCCTTGACCGTCGTACTGATCATTCCGTACACAGTTAACACATTTGTTACGGTTTACATGTGTAGAACCCCTCCGAGACCTCGAGTGCAGACTGGCCAACTCAGATCACGTGTAACGCGGGGCCGTGAGCAACGTACGAACAGTGTAACGACGCTGGTCCGTAGCACATCTAAGAGCTGAAAGTCGAAACGGTCGGGCTCACCACCGAAACTTGCCATACGAGTTCACCCGACTTCGGCAGCAGCAAACTTCATCTTCACACCAAATATCCCGAGAAGCCTTCCACAGCAGCAGCGAGCGGCCTTCTGCTTCTCCCGCCTCTCGTTTTGATGCTTCCCTCATACAACAAGCTCAGTGAGTTCGCCTTCAGTCAATTGCGAAGAGCTCGTCGTGGGGATTGCATTCAGCCATTCATGCCAAGATGCACGAGGCGCGGGTCGGCGTGCGTCCGTACCGGGCGGAGGGCGGATCAGCTGGACGCTGTCGTCACGCTCAGCAAGTCCCATGGGTGGACGGGATAGGCAAGAGGGCGACGTTGCCGTCGTAGCGCGTCTTGCTGCGGGGCAGTATCCTCGCTGTATATGACGTTGCAGGAGGCCGGTCGGCCCTAAAATGCGTGGGATTGTCTATGAGCAATGACTTTCGTGAGAGGACTTCCGCGACGGCTGCCGCAGGGCACCCCACGGGGTAGTCTGGGCGAGGTGAAAAGCGCACCGGGGTGCTCAAGCGGGATGTATGAAGTGGGGCGATCGTGTCGGCGTCCAGTGCATAGCGGCGGATTCGTGACGCTGGTCGCACACTGGGAACGGCAAGGAGAACGAAATCTTCACGAAGGCCATCAGCATAACTCAAAGCCAAGAACGGGATCGCAGCAACGCACCAGCGGCAGTGAGAAGGCCAGCACCGAGCGAGAATCGACGCCCTCCAGCGACTCTGCGGTGAGCAGAACTCAAGCAAGACGCGCAGGGGGTCCGGCAGGCCTCCTCACCGTGCACCGCGCCTCAATAGCCCGTCCCAGCGTCTCCAATACCATATCGACGCCTCGGGACTTCTTCGTACTAAACTAGATATGATCACTGGTAAACGATCAGCGCGTCCAAAGCAAGGCATCTGAATCTTCACTCTCTGCGATGCATGCAAGCCAAGCGCGCGCTGGCCGCCCATAATACAGGCTGACTCGCACGCGCGAATGCCCCCGCGTCATCGGGGCCTGTATAGCGAATAGGCTTTTTCCCAATGCAATACAGTGTGCAGGGCCGCATACTCGTTTGCAACAGAGGGTGTGAGTTCGTATGCGTCCTGGACGCGGTAGATGAGAACATGTGGTGCAATGCCCAGCCGAGGATTGGCTTCTATACGTTGTGTCACCGCACGTCTCGGACGATCAAGGCAATGCTCCCTCGTATTTGGGCACTGCCAGACGTGCCTGCGTGCCGCCGGCGAACCCAGTCCACTCAATGCTAGTGGACATTGGGTCTGGACTTGAGTCACGAGTACGGTGGGAGACCCACTGCTTCGCATCACTGCGCGGCGGCCAGCGGTCCCCAGGAATAGCACCGATAGCGTTCGGAGACGTCGTTGGAGCACGCAATGGGAAGACGAAGCGAGACGCAGCCTGCGTCGTATATGGGGAAGCGTGCGCGCGCATGCATTCAAGTGATGTTCGCGGCTTCTACCGGGGCCTGCGAACAGCAAGAATATGAGCAACAGTATGCCGGTGGAGCGAGCGTGAGCGCGTAGCGATGCATGAGGCGGTATTTGCGGGGACGAAGGCGAGAACGTCGGGGAAGCTTTGAGACGTGCTGCGGAGGAGGACGTCGACGCGTGAGTAAATCGCGACGAGGGCGCGGTGCGCAGAGTCGGTGTCATGCTGCACCACTACTGCCATGGAAGCGATACCGATCCGGAGACGTCGTCGCCGCTGCATGACAAGGGTGGTACCACAGCGTTTCCGCATCGGGCATAGACACAGGCGAAGTCAAATACGGTCTAGACAGCGGCCTTGGCTGAGCGAGCGGACTAACCGCGGCGATGCGGAAAACGCAGCGATCCGTCATTTAGGGCCTGTTCGGTAAGCCGGAGACGTTCGCTTGCTCGCCAGCGTCAGCCACTCGGGGAAACCCGAGGGTGTGACACCGTGTGACAGCAAGCTGGCGATGTTGGGGATCGACGCCGTCTTCGCCGTCTTCGTCTCTGTACTGCGACTCGCACAGGCTGCGACTCTCACACTGCGCATCATGGGCGAGAAGGCCCACTGGACTGATGCCGATGTCTCCACCTTCCTGCAGGTCTTGAAGGAACACAAGGCCGAGGCTGGGGATGGCGGGAACTTCAAGGCACCGACCTTCAAGAAGGCTTCTGGCGAGCTGGAGAAATGCCGGACGAAAGGGGCCGTGAAGACATGGACGTCTTGCCGAAACAAATATGCCAAGGTATGCCTTCTATTTCTGTGTGGCTTCGATACTGAGATGGGTGGTAGCTGCGCGAGACCTACAAGGTCGTGTACGACCTCTCGGTGCAATCCGGGTTCCATTGGGACAATGAGAATGGTGCCGCGATAGACGAGGATAGTGAGGCTGTGTGGCAGGCTTATGTCGAGGTGGGTACTGTGTGTGCTCGCATGGATATGGCTGATATAGAATGGCATGTAGAAGCACCCCGAGGCTGAGCCCTTTCGCAACAAGGGGTGGCCGCACTTCGAGGATATGAAGGAGCTCATGCCATCGAAAGTGAAGGGTACCCATGCCTTCCATCCAGCCACGCAGATGTCAGGACGCTCGGCGGATGCGGGAGCCTCTCGCGATGCCACGGTGGATCGCTCGACGCCAGAACCGAGTGATGATGGTGAGGCTAATGCAGCTCGTCACAGCACTCCGGTAGCCGAGGCCATAGAGGACACGGAGCACCTTGAGCTTCCTGCGACTCCGCCACCACCACCGAAGCGCAAGGCCCCTGCGTCGTCATCTACGTCGACCCAGAGCTCGAAGCGTATGCGAGGGCCTGGGCAAGCCGCAGCCCTCAACAGTCTCCACGAGGAATTCGGTGTATTCAACGAGATGGTACGCACTGTCATGGCCCCTGACATGAGCAGCCAGTCGACTCCGAGCCGCAAGGCCCGTGCTTTCAAACTCGCGCAGGAGGAGGAAGGGCTGGATGCGGATGAGATGGTGTCTCTGCTGGACGTCTTTCGGAAGGATGCGAGTGCTGCAGATTTGTACGTTCAGATCAAGGATCGTGCTGTGCGTAGGAAATGGGTAGACAGGCAGTTGGCTGGAACACTGTAGATGCCTAAATTACATGTCCATCATCCCCTCTCCAAGTCCCTCCCTTTCCTGTAGAAGTGCCTGGTAATCCTCCCACATCTGAGTTGCAATAGCATCGCGCTTCGCATTGGCACGGTCCTTCTCTGCCTGATTGATTGCACGTTCTGCAAGGATACCTGAATCCACATCGCCGCCATGCAGCCCATGCCCATCAAGAATATCGGCAAATTCCATGATTTCGTCTGGGTCGTGGATGCGGATGAAGTTGTGGATAGCACATAGAGCTGGAGGGATACGGGCCTGGATCTCCATGCAGTACTCTGGAGCAAGGAGGAGGATACGGAAGCGACGTTTGAGGACACCAAAAATGCGTTCTATGACATTGCGAGCCGAGGAATGGCGAAGGTTGTATAGCTCTTCTTTGTTTGCAGGCCTAAAAAGATTGAGTATATTGGATGAGAGAGAAGACCAGACTAACCGTAAATCAGCGCGCCTCCATTCTGCGAGATGATAGCGCACTCCACGGTACGGAACAAGCAAGGCATCACACAGGTGAAATCCGGCATCCGCAAACCAGAATTTCCCAGGGAGCGCAAGCAGACTGGTCCGACGAGCCTCGTTATAAAGCGCAGCATCCGTGATTGAGCCCTCCCAACCACTGAGCACGTACTGAAAGCGCATGTCAAATGAACAAGCTGCAAGCACGTTCTGGGACACCCCGCCTTTGCGGTTGCGTGAATTGTCGAGGTCCTCTGCAGAAGGTGCTGCATCGACCTGAACACCATCCATAGCTCCAACCGCATCCTCAAAATAAGGAAAGAAGCGCGAGTTGTTTGCAATTTCTGGTGGGATCGGGTCGTCCGCTTTTGGCAATTTCACGTATTTCGTGTAGAAAGGTGGTGACGAGAAAATGGTGAGCATCTTGCGGTAATACCTGGGATCCTCTGTCAGCATAGAGATAGTCAAGCCAAAATAGACAAACCGTGAGATAGTCTCGTTAGACCGTTGGAACCGTTCACCAAGGTGGCGTATCGACAGACCCGTCACAGATGCATACAAGAAAATTGCAAGCTGCTCTTGAAGCGTGACATGTCGTGAATCACCATACCCCATGGCCTTCAGTTCTTCAATGAGAGCATAGAACACATGGTGATGTACACCGAGCTCTGCATAGATCCGTTGAGGGTGACCAAGGAGAAGCTCGAGAACCCAACCTTCGCCAGTGAGGATAGACGTGTGGTATGGTTCTCGATCAAGAGTTGGCTCAGCAATGATGAAAACAGCCATAAAGAGGATTCTAACGAATATAAGGGCATACACGAGTAGCTGCTGGCGCCGTTGCCGCCAGCTATTGTCGACATTGCGGCTGTCGGACGGCATTTTCGCGTGTACAAGGCAGGGACAGGCATGCAGTGGCTCGATTCGGTGCGTGACGATTTAATGTTTACTTCTATTTGTCCTACCAGCGCTCCGAGGGTCGCCCGAGCTGGCAGGCGAACGTCTCCGGCTTACCGAACAGGCCCTTAGGCACCAGGGCGCGGTGCAGGACTCGCCGGGGCGAGCCAGAAAGCCAAAACCGCCCTCGCACTCTCCGTATCTCGCGTGTCTGCTCGACTAGGGAGATCGATGGTGTGCGGAAGCGGAAGCGGCGGGCGCAATACCGCGGTGGACCGAGGTATCGCACCTAGTAACGCCGGCGAGATGGTATATCTGCCACAGGCTTCGGATGGATGTTGCGGTTATGTCACCGAGCCTGATATGCGCTGTCAACGCTGCGAGTCTGCGGCGGGCCCTGTTGTCGTGCATCCATCGCGTACAGCGTTGAACCGAGGTGACACCGAAAGATTTCAGGCTGTATCGCTGGCAGGAATCACAATTATGACATGCACATACGTAGGCAATTTTACTTACGACATATTGTACATGTTCGTGTTCCTGACATTGTGTGGTTTGTGCGTGGGGCTACGCGCGTCTTGTGGAGGCTCTGGATTACAGTAACGGAGACTCGCACGGGAAAGCCGCCGCTAAATATTGTCGTGTGGTCAAACGCACCTGGGTTCACGAGCATCTATGCTGCAATAATTTTGCTTCGTTCAAAGGTTCTTGATATCGCGCGGCGAATGCGTGGGTCAATACACATGTTGGGAAGGCTCAATACGCGATTAGAGGGGCGGAGACGGAGGCGCCTGGTGGATCGACTACGTCCGGAGCCGGAGGACTGAATTGCGAAGCTGGTGGACAGCCCAATTGCGGTGAAGATGCATGGTCAAAGACTTTGTGGCGTCCCACTAGAAGCGCCAGGAAGTAAAGGTGTACTGAGATCTGCGGGTGCGGCCGTAGGAAGTGAGCGTCCGGCAGGAGGAAGAGTCGGCATCCGCGTCTTCCGGCGGCGCAGCGTCCAAGCGGGGACGAACGTGCTGTCAAGGGCGGAGCGGGCCTGTCGGGGCCCAGAGGAGGCGCGGCTGGCGATAAGAGGTGCGGGCCAGGAGGATAAGACACGTCTGAGGAAAATGAAGGGGCGGAATATGATAGAGGCCGGGTGGGGATGTTCGGAATGACACTGGTTTACGGGAACGAGGATGTTGCCAGCGCGATGGGGAGCAGCACGAGGCGGCGGGCGGAACGCACGGAGGATTGATGGGAAGATCTGCGCGAAACATGCACCGTACGAGACCGTACGTATACGCAAACCGTACGCGTCGGGCCCGTGTGACGTCAAAGGCAGACGGCAGCGCGACAAAAGCGAGCGGTGGAGGGGGATTGCGGGAGACGGAGACGTGAGAACTGCATATACGGTGCGCTCCGGCGAGTAGAAGACGGTGCGCAGGCGACGGTGAATGTCGGCATCGGGCGGCAGGGCCGGAGCCACGTGGGCCGGAGGATCGATGTACGGAACGCCCGGGTCGGGGTCCGACGGGGAGCCCGAAATGGAAGTGGGTGGAGGGAGATACGGGCAGCCGGAGCGAGGAATCGAAAATAAAATACGGCGGTCGTTGGGGCGGTCGAGGCGGTTTTTCGGCTGAACACGCATCCGGGATTCCGGCCCTCGGTGCACGGCGTCGCACCCTTTGCGTATTTCTCCAACCCAATCCGCGCCTGGCCCACCGTCTGGTCCTCCCTCCTCTGGTGCTCTTGAGCCCGCGCACTCGCAGCCAGCTGCTTCCACTCCCCCGGTCCCAGGCGACCAGGCGCGAACCCGTCACGACACGACCCCCGATCGGTCTTCTCTTCCTCCCAACAGCCTTCCATTTCCCTCTCGGCTGCCTCATAGCTAGCTGCCCGCCATGTCCTTCGTCCTCACAAGGCCCCCGTCTCCCCGCCCGACATGCACCCCCACCCGGACGAGGACTCCCTCATCACCGCCCTCAACTCCGCCTTCCAGTCCATCACCACCTCCGCCCACGAGCACGACTCCGCCGCCATGCACCGCGACAAGAAGGACAGGGACGGCCCCTTCCTCGACATCGTCGTCGCCTCCGACACCCTCGTCCTCCGCGGCACCGGCGTCGACGTCGACCCCTCTCTCCTCAGCGGCCATGTCGTCCTCCACCTCACCGAGCCCACCTCCATCAAGGAGATTACCCTCCAGTTCAGGGGCAAGGCCCGCCTGCCCGTCTCTTCCGCCGAACCGTGAGTCTCTTCATCTTTGTTTCTGGGCACAACGTTCCTCGGAGCTTCGCTGTCCATGAATCGACGTGGGGAGCACGTTATGCTGGCAGTGGCAGGGGCGCGCAGATCTACGCGGTGGCGCAAAGGTGCGGGTGTGGCGTTGTGGCGTGCAGTAAAGCATGTTTCACCCAAGGTGATGCGTCTACAATCCGCTCATTCTGCACCCTCATCGTTGCATACCTCCGCCTCAGCTTGGACGAACAGGACGCGTACCTTACTGAATAGCGGCGCACGTTACCACATGCTGGAGCACCCTTCGGGTCACACGACGCGCGACGTGCCCTTGAGCGCGTACCACCGCGCTCTGCTCCAGCATCCGCGTCCACGCTGCCCGTTGTTCACCGCCCTTTCCTGCACCTGATGCCTATATGTGACATATAGCGAACCCACCTTATTCCTTGTTCCTTGTCGTATTGGCTTGGAGAGGGGATAATGCGGCAGACACGAGGCGGCGGAACCGACGTCGAGCATAATCCATTGATTCCACTCGGATTCAACGTCATAACACGCGCTGCTGCCCTCGGGCGCCTCAGTCGCGTCTCCGTCGCATCTGGGGCGCGTCCGACGTTCATCTCAGCACGGAGCTCCGATGCCACTGTATTCGCTCTCGTGCTTGCGGACCCCGTCCCAAACGCGTTGTTACTTCCCCACCCATGATGAGCTTCTGCGGGGGAGCGCCGAAGCCTCCCCTCATGAGGAAGTTCCGAAGCTCTCCCCATGACGATGACCCAAGTTAATTACATACTGTCAATTATGCTTGCGAACGCCTGTCGAAGGCGTGGGCCCGCATTGTCTGCTCCTCGGCTTGCCGTATAGCGGAAGGCCTGGAAGCCCGATTCCGCCCATACGACGCCAGAGCACCTACTGACCTCTCGCCCTCCGCAGATTGTCATTGAGTTCCTCTTCCCTTACTACCTCGTGTGCAACCACGAGTGGTCCTTCCTCGAGGGCAACCGCTCACATGCCCACACGCTCAAGGCCGGGCGCCACCTATTCCCCTTCCAGCTCCAGATCGGCGGCTCACTCCCGTCGTCGATCGCGACAAGCGCGCTCGGAGGCGCCTCGTGCACTACAACTGCGCGCGACCGCGGTCCGCCCCGGCTTCGCCATCACGCACCGCGACCTCACAGCATTGTGTCCCATCACGATCTGCGCGGCTTCGGGTCTGAAGCGCTCGAGTACAGCAGACGCTCGAGATTGAGAAACCTGGCCCGAGAAACTGATGTACAGCATCATGATCCCGCACAAGGCGTGGGCTGCGGGCGAGAAGGTCACAGCGGTCGTCAAGTTCTCTCCCCTTGTGAAGGGCGCGCGCGTGTTGAATGTGACGACGACGATTAACGAGACTATCAAGCTCTACTCGCGTTCGGGGATGCAGGAGAGTACGAGGGTCATCTCGAGCACGCGGCATGATATTTGGATGGACACGCGGTGTGCGTGGACGAGCAACATCATCGGTACCGGATACCCTCCTTCACCACACTAGCAACCAGGCTACACATCGACACACGGCGTCATTACCTGCTACACCTGCGAATGGCTTGCGCATCACCACGAGACGCCGAACGGCGCAACCCCTGGTTACTTCCACCAGCACCACCTTCACATCCTCCGTCGCCTCTACACCATACTACCGAGCTTGCCCCCCTCACGACCACGACCACGAACTCGTCACAATCCTCAGGGCATGGCGCTGCGCTGCGCACGACGCTGTCTGCGCCCACACAACAGTCGTCATCTAGCTCAAGCAGCGAGAACCTCCCTCAAACACCGCCACAACCGCCAATTTCGGCGCTCATAGACCCGCAAGATGCGGAGCTTATGGAGCCTCCGTCGACATTGTCACGACCCTGAACATCACCGTGCCCATGCACGCCACACCGAGCCACTCATTGGAGGTGCGTAAACCCTAGCCGGCGTTCCTAACCCTAGCGACTGACCCTAACCCCATCACAGCCTATCCAGGTCACGCACCGGATACGATGGTCCATCCTCATCGGCAACCTCGATGGCCACACCTCCGAGCTGCGGTGTTCATTACCTCTACACGTCCTCGATAACCGGTTATACGAGGAGGCACGGCAGCCACCCTACATACACGACGGATCCTACTCGGGCCTCAGGACATTGAGGGCGGCACTGCCCAGGGCACGCACGGCGACGACAACACAGAGGAAGACATGGACCTGCCGTCGTACTCTTCGCACGTGCGTGACCGCGTCGCGAACGCGTACCTCCCCGACACCGCCGCCCTGCGCGTTGTCAACCCATGGGTGATGCAGGGCGTCTCGCCAACAATCGGGCCGCCACGGTCTGAAGGCTCGTCTGGTCTCCAGAGCCCCGCGGCATTGAGACATGGCAGGTCGCGCACTCCGCGAACACGACCAATCACAGTGCGCGCAGACACTTGCCGCAGGAGCCCACGCCGGACGCGGCGCCGCTCGAGTGGGTCAACACGGAGCTGCTCCTGAGCCTGAGTCGGGAGGCGCCCGAGATGCCCGTGCCCACCCCACCACAACCCGCCAACCCCTCACCACCAACAGCGCGGACGCCGCCGGAGCCGTCGTCCTCGCCGGGAGGCAGCCGCTCGCACTCGCGCTTCCCGAGCCGGCGACCGAGTCGTGCGAACAGCCGCGCAGCGAGTCCCGAGCGGGGTGTGGCGGCGGTCACGCCGGGCGGGACCGTAAATCCGGGGGACACGTTCGTACACAACGGGAGCCACGCGTCGCGGAATATGCATTCGCTCTTCAACATCGCGATGAAGCCGTTCACGAGCCTAGGGAGCACATTCTCGCTCAGCTCGCGCAACCCAAGTCACTCGAACCTCCACGGGCACGGGCACGGCAACTCGCCACCGCATATGCCTGGCGCGGGCCCAACGGGGAGCGGTGCGTTGAGCGCGAGCGCGAGTTCGATCAACCTTGCGAGTCTGGCGCATCATCCGCAGACGCCGCAGCCGATGACGACGCCGGAGCAGCTGCACTATGCGTTCACCGAGGTGCCCGACTATGACATGGCGAGTCGGGGGTTCCTCGGGGGCGGCATCACACCCCTGTCGAGTCTGCAGGGGCTCCCGAGCTATGACGACGCGGCGCGGGAGCGGAATCTGAGCCAGACGGAGCGCAGCTTCAGCGACACCGATTTGGCGGGCATGTTTGCTGCGGCGCAGCGACAGGGACGGACGGTGGTGCCGAGGGTTATGCCGAGGACTACTGCGAGCACTCCACCGCCGCCGTCATGATTCGATTGCCTTCCCTCTTGCTTGTTCATCACGATCTGGTTTGCTCAGTCGATTCCGATATCTCCCCCACTCCTTAAGCATATACGCATTTACTGTACAACAAGCAAGCCCATATAGACCTAGACATGATCGCATGGATGATATGACGGAATGGACAGCATAGTAGTATTAATGCCCTAGACCTACTCTCCCCTCTCACAATGAATGTCGTTGTCTGTTGTTTCGCAGACTTGTCCTCCGCTACTTCTCGGTGTGATCTACCTAAGTTAGTACATGCATTTGCGCGACACTGCAAAGAATACACTGCATTTGTGACAAGGATCGTGGTATACATTTCACTATAGTTCGTCCGTGTTCATCACAACATCGTTCAATTTTCTCCCAATTTCTCATTCTATGTGGACAGAGCATTAATTTACAGCCCAACCGCGGCTTTCAACTTCGCAAAGTCCGGAGTACCTAGGCCAGTAACCTATGCGGAGAGATCAGTGGCCGTACGAGCTGAGATTTCAACGACGCTCACGGGGTCCCAGCCAGTGGTAGCATTGAACCCAGTCGTAAAGTTCGAGCAGGCGTAGTTGTTACCCTCGGTAACGTCATTCATGGCAGACGCTCCAGTGGAGTACAGGAACGGGTTCAGCCAGCCCAGCGCAGGCTTGCCTGCCGCGAGGAGTTGGTCGTTCAGCAGAGCGACGACGCTCGCGAACGTCGGTGTCGAGCAGCTCGTGCCGCTGACGCCGATCACCTCCCCTTGCACGATGACCTCGAAGCTGCTTCCGTACGCGGAGACGTCCGGGTATGCGCGCCCGGATGCGTTGTAGAGCCCGTCATTCGCGCCGCCGAGATAGCTGATGTAGTTCGCCACGGCGGAGTCCTGGTAAGCGGGTCTTGCCCAGTTATCGGAAAAGCCACCGCCGGAGAAGTTCACGGCCGTCTCTGGGATGTTGATCGTACCTCCGACGGAAGTGATGCTGCATCATGATCAGGTTGCTTCAACATTCATTACACAGGGGTTGAGAAGAGCAACACACTAAGGACATCCAGATGGGAAGGTGGGCTTGAAGGTCGTGCAGGTCTCGTCCCATTGGTTTCCAGAGACTCCGCCATCCCCGGATGAGTACAAGATGGACATGCCCCTAGCCCCCAGCTGAGCGAGCATGTTGCAAAGGTTGCTGCACAGTCGTGTTCATCAGTTCGTCGGTCGGCGGCAAGGAGCGGGAGACATACTAAGCAAGACTAGTCGAAATGACGTCTTCGTTCAAGCCGTAGCTCGTCGTCATGACTTGAGGCGGGGAACTCAGGTTCAGCATGTAGCTCGCGGTATCGATGAGGACGTTTGCAAAGTCATCGCCGTCGAGGACCTCCCCACCAACGGTTCCGAACGCGACCGGCACATCTGTCGCGAGGCCCACAGTATACTGGATGTCCAGGAACTGTAAAACGCAGGGGTCAAAATGGGGACGCGGGGCGATGCAATGGTATCAGACGAACCCCTTCTACGGTTGCCGAGCTGTTCTGAGGATCCGTACCATTGTTGACTGAGACGACGGTGTACGACGTGTTGGAATTGATGTCCGGTCGTAAGTCTTGTAGGAACGTCTGATCACAAGATGTGAGCTTCGTTGCTTGATCGCGTTCGCAGCACACGAACAACTCACCGAGAGATCATCGCGATGCGGATATTCATACACATATCCAGTGACAGCGAGCTGTATGGACGAGCTAGTGGCAGGGGTAGTCGGAATATTGTACAAGGACTGCAGACATGCAGGTCATATAGCCACAGTTGCTGATGCAATTCGTCGCCCGCCCGACCAGAGAATGAGACCGCTTAGAGCTGGTAGCGTAATTCACAACGGGCGACCTCTCATATGGATCAGGAAAGCTGTGAGGTCTTATCAGCATCCCTGCATTTACGAACGACTCCAGGTAATTACGTTATAGTTGGATGCACCACGTCTAGATGTCCAACTAGATCCGTGTGGATAGAGTACGAGAGCGTACGGACCGTCTGTTGGCCTGTTACAGTGTGGATGAAGACAGAGAACTCAGTGCCGAGGAGTCCGTTAGCCTGACCGACAGGGACGTCAACTGAGAGCCAGTCACCGGCGGGCAAAATTGGCATAGCACGGAGTCCGTTGTCAGTCAGTCACGCCAGGCGTTCACAACTTGAACAGAGACGGTCTCTGCTTTTGGTACGACGAACGCCTCGACCTGGCGAAGTGGTCAAAACCAGCTTCGAGTGCACACAATCGGACTTACCTCTTCCTTGGTCAGATGTTGACCGTAGTTCAAACTGAAAGGGGTACTGACGTCGTACAAGGCTTCGATGAGCCCCACGTCATCACCGCGCACAAGCGCCAAAGGCAGGTTGAGGATCGTATCGGGTAAGGCAGCTCCAGCGAGGCTGAACCCCGCGGGTGCGCTACTTCGAGCCTCGTGCAGCTGCATGTCCCTGCGCAGAGGCTTTCCCCATGCTAGTGCCAAGAGCGAAGTAATCAGCAAAATCCGGAATGTCATGATCGTACCTCGAGACTCAGAACTGCCTGTAAAAAGTGCGGAGGTCCGATGGTAGATTGTTCGCGAAAGAGACCTTTATATCGCATTCTCGAAGGGAGAACGCTTCGCTGAGGTCCGCGACGGTATCTGAATGGAATGCTACATTCTGGCGCGCTGTTCCACGTGAACAATGTAAAAATCGTGATCCACGCTCCTGCTTTCTGGCCACGAGAGCTGCTGGCCGGACTTTACTAACCCCCTGCAGGATCGCGTAGATTGGCACGCAATTTGTTGCAGCGCAGCAGCATGATAGAATGTATCCCGAACGCCATGGCTCCCGTGGAGAAATGTGCCCGCTGTGTGTATCATCAGTCTTCGACTCCATCGTTCACGAGGTTGCTTGTCTACGCACGCTGCTATCTGTACAGTACCACCGAGCTATTCATCTACTCCGCTGGTATCGAAGTTGGTCGTGAATACTTGTCGCCCTGGTAGCATTGGATCACCCATTGCGCAGCAGGCTCAGAAGGCTGCTGTTCAAGAGGCTTCACATGGCAAGCGCCAGGGGCGATCGGTGCCCTGGTTGGTGGCACTAAGATTCCTATGAGCTTTCAGTAACATACGGGCCCAGATGATGCTGATGAGGAATGAAGATCACGAGTACCTCGAAAGAAGATAGTTGTTAGGCTACAACATTTGATGAAAGGACATCCAAAAACCAGGCAGGTAACAGGTTCAACGCGAGGTTGAAACCCCACGTGACCGTGCCGCGGGGGCAAAAGCTGGAACTTGGTGAGGCTAACTCGGGACATTGGTGGTGGTTGTGTTCGCAAGACAGCCGGATCCGCTAGGCTGACATTCTTGAATGAGTATATAAGGAGCTGGAGAGCAGAGCGAATCGCCACCTCACCTTTCCTTCCCGCATCCATCTTCTCAGCCCTCGACGGCCTCCTCCTGGCGGCTGTGCAAGTCAAAGTCGTGTATGGGCTACTCACGGTGAACATTGTTCTATCTCCTTGCCTCATACTCACCATGTATCCTGCAGCCCAAGACGAAGGTGAGTGAGTTCCGTTTCGGCGGCTTGGTCTGTGGTTCGTGATTCGTGATTCGGCTCCCCTCTTGTACCATCCACCCATCGCGCCTGTCATACCCCTCCTACCTGTCCATTCACCTCTCGCTCATGTAGTGTTCGTGGGTTCGTTGCGGCAGCGCCGAAAGGCTGCTGTCCGCTTGCCCCCGCGTGCGGAGCACATGCCGCGGGCGGCCTACTTGGCGGCAGCACCGAAAGGAGCTGTCCGCCCGCCCCCGTGCCGAAAGGCTGCGGGTGGCGTCGCCCTCGTGCTGCGAGTGGCTATATGGGTTTGTGGTTTGCGTTCCGGGTCACCGTCTCCTGCATGTATCTCCTCATCGCGCATGTGCCGACCCTCCTGCCTGTCCATCCACCTCCGCGCCTGTCTTCGTAGGTAGAAACCCTGTGATGCCTGTGCAGTCTGTACCATCAACGGATCGTGCACACTCCAGTTGGCGCGTGTTAGCCGTTGGTGGTATAGACTGTCGATTGTCTGGCTTGTATGATAGAATGGTTCATTACAACGTACCTCGAAATGAAGGGTTTCAGATTTTCGGTGCGCGGAGTGCGTGCGGCAACAATCTGACTCAACGTTCAGACAAGCGCACTGTCGACGGTGTCGCACACATGCCGGTTACACTGTAGACAGACGAGACGTGAGCAACGCGCATGGGCAGATCGTCAATCGCAAAAGCTTTTGATCATACTCATATGTGGAGCTCAAAGCTTCAGCACATGAGATCGTCCAAACACCGCATTCGACACAGAAAATCTCTGTCAGACATCACAAACAAGGGTCAACTCTCGGACTTGACAGCAGAGCAGCGGCAGGGTAATTTCTTTGGGATTCGAAGTCGACAGATGCCGGGTATGTTTCAGAAGACCAAGTGGTAAGGTTAAAATGCGATATAGTTGTGGCCCCTGACAGAAAAGCCGAAGTGTTGCAGTTGAGTGTGACAAAAGTCTAGCTCCGGATAGTATGGCGCGTGACGCCATGGAGGAGGTCGCGCGTCCGGTCATCTCCCTTAAGCTCAACTGTCCATGTCATCCTTGACTTGACTGCCTCCTCCGTATGCTCGCTTACCTCGAGAGCTTCATGGCAAGAGTCATACGGAATTTGTTAACTCCACCGGTCACCATTTATAAGGCAACCCTCGGATAGACGACGAGTACATCAAACTGAGCATGCAACCGCTTGAGGAAGCACTGGAGGCCCATCCGTAACATCGTCCGAACGAGTGAGACGAGTGTGGTACGTATCTGTCTAAGCGCACGGCGAACCTGAACCGCCTCTGATCACCAATGGACTAGCAGCGTAGCTCAGAGATCTAGTGGCACCAGGCACGTCTCAGAGAACATGGCTTGCGGTCACGAGCATCTGCGACCACTGGACCAGTGCCTCAGCCTGGCGCTGGAACCACCCAACCGCTCCCATGTGTTCTCACGAATGGAATATGGATGGGTGGCTGATATGCATCGCTCAATGCCACCCTGGTAGCCTGGCCTATCCTCTTGGACAGATAGATATGCCCTTTCTCTTCTGTAACTCGGTATCAGACTCTGAGTCGCCGCGGAGACCCGTGAACATCTCCTCGACGTATCAGCTTGTTTTCTCTTCATGGTCGCCAGTGGGCTACGCATCGAGAGTTCCCGGGGAAGACGCTTGCCGGTCAAAGTCTGATCTCAGTATACGGTCAGCATATACTCTTATTCCATCTCATCGAAGTGCACACGGCAGCTGACCAGCCCTGAATCAGAGCCCGAACCCACGACGACCCAAGGACGCCGTCTAAGCCTCTTTCACTTCTCCTGATGGGAATTTTTCTCTGATGCCGTTTCTCGAGATTGCAGCAGGCCATTCTTTGCGCCACGCCATCTCATCGCCCGGGTTTTCTTACGTGAGTTTCCCTCACGGAGCGCTGAACTGCGGTGATAGCGGACTCACACCTTGTTCTCAGAATATACCCATTGTTACAGATGTACGAACTCGAAATCGACCCCTACAATTGTGTGATGGTGAGCTCACAGTCCACCTGGGTATTGTATAAGACACTCGGATCCGGCGAGTCCTAAGCAAAATGGCCTTCGATATCGAGTCCTTCACAGGATTTCTATCAAGCTGCAGTACAATGTGGTCTCTGTGGGTGGCGCTCATGTTGGTGCGCACCTTCAGACGTCCTTGAAATGCAGTATTTCCGGTACTTCTGACTCGCCTAGGACTCGCCTGGAAGGAGTGTGTTGTATTACTTTGCCAACAGTGTTGATGTAATGCATTCTCAGGTCCTAGATATGGAACAGTGTCAATTACCGTCTCCGCGTGGTCCAGTAGCAGCTCACGGAACGTCTACCTTCGCCTCGCTCGCAGTTCATCGGAAATGAATGGCGACCTAATTCTTTCGCCGCTCTGCTGGCGTGGACGATCCCCACGGCGGCGAACCAGCTCCTCGTTATGGTCTGATGACTTAGGTGAGCACAGCTTTCTGTCCTGCGAGCTGTTGTATTCGACTAATAGACACATCCCGCAGACGACGCAAGAGGCGCGAGCGCGTCTGCTTTCGTGGACTTGATCAATGAGTTCTCGTGTGATCGCGATAGGCTTGTAGCCATGTGTACGCATAGATTGCGGTCGACGGCTGACATCGAGGCAGCTGGCTGTGAACCTGGACGATCGAAACTACATATGAGCATTCTCACGGAAGCTGCATGACGATCCACGATCGATTCTGCGAAGAATAGGATCGATGGATAATTACTACAGTACTCTCTCAGATTCCTCCGACACTCGAGATTGATTCGCTGGAGAGGCTGGCTTTGTGCGGATTGCCCTGGAACCAATGCCATGGATCAAGGCAGAACTCATGGCGGAGGCAGATGGCCGTCCTTGCAGCAGATAGCTTAGACCGTCGGAACGGGACCGTTGGAAGAATCGGGCAAGGTTTCATCGAAGAATGACTCCTACTGGCATCGTCTCACAAGGCCCGTTCACTCCGTGTGTACCGTAGTGTCGGATCTGGTAAGCCTTGTCCTTGCTCAATATATTTGTGACTTACTGATTGCTCTGCGTCTACAATCCAGTGATTGACGTGCGCTGACAGCTTATTTGACGCCATTACGTTCCATAAGGCGATGAAGATCGCTGGAATCTGACCTCGGGTTCATTCGTCTGCCTGCATACTTTGATCAACAGAATGACCTCGTATTCGCGGCCTGGCTCAGACCTGGCTGACTGATTATCCCGGCAGATACGGACGGAGCACTCACCTAGTGGTAAGTATTGTCCGTTATTTCCCTCAGGCTACATCAGTGCCGAGAACAACCCATGCGTTCACGTATAAAAGGGCTGTCTTGCTGGCCTCCGTTCGATGTCGACTCTAGCCGGTCGATCCAAGAGATATCCCTATGGTAGGTTCGAAGATGCTGTCCTCCTCTCTGGCGCTTGGCTTGCTGTTGCCCGCCCTTTCTTGGGGTACGCCCGTGCGGCGCAGTATGCAAACGCTAGAGTCGCGTTCGAATCCTCCTTCGGGATACACCCAGACAGGGCCCGCCGATCCCGATACCGTCCTCACCTTACGTCTCGCTCTCGTGCAGAGCGACTACGACGGGCTCATCGATGCATTGTACGACGTCAGCACTCCTTCGAGCGCGCACTATGGCGAGTATCTCAGCAAGGAAGAGGTATGTTCGATTTGATTCATGTTGTGTTCCTCCTATCCACGTATTCAGTGCTGCTTACCTTGTACGCTCCATAGGCATCGGCATATATGGCACCGACGAACAAGAGCACATCAGCCGTCAATGCGTGGTTGAACGAGAATGGCCTGCAAGCAACAGTCCTGTCTGCGGCTGGCGACTGGCTCTCAGTCCAGCTACCCGTCAGCACAGCCAATGATCTTCTTGAAGCGGACTTCTCCGTATTCACACATGCTGTGACCGGAAAGCAGGCCGTGAGGACGCTTACCTACTCTATCCCTACCGACCTTGCGGACCATCTTGCTTTGGTGCATCCTACCGTATCGTGCGTGCCTACCTTTCACACCACCTCATCAACAGATTAGGTGAATTGTGACTACTGCTAGGTTCCCGAACCCAAACGGCTATATGCCTATCACGAACTTCTCATCCTCGGGCCTCACGCCCGAGGCTGATACGGGCCCCTGCGATATCAACTCCATCACTCCCGCGTGTCTACAGTGGTTGTACGGCATTCCGACGACGCCTGCAACGAACAAAGAGAATCGCCTGGCTGTGACAGGCTATGTCGAAGAATGGCCATCAGTGGCGGATCTCTCGGTGCGCAGAGCTCATGTATACATTGAACACTAGTGTAGACCTGACTTCATCTGATAGGCGTTCTTGGCCGATTACCGTCCGGATATCGACTCTGCAACGTCTTGGACGCTCGTAACGCTTGATAACGGCTCCGACCCGCAGGGTCCTTATGATGCAGGCCTCGAAGCGGTAAGTGTACCTAACTGTCTAGTACCCCACAGGATTGACAAGGCTTATACTACGCAGAATCTCGACACACAATACACAATTGGTCTTGCAACAGACGTGCCTGTTACGTTCATTTCTGCCGGTGATAATTTCGACCCTACGGACAACGAATTCGCACAAACACTGCTCGACACCGCATTATACCTGTTGGCGCTACCATCACCTCCACAGGTGGTGACAACGAGCTATGGCGACGATGAAGAGCACATCTCACAGGCTCTTGCAGTGTGCGTATCAGCTTGCTGCAGGCCTGAAAGAGTTGTCTTTGACTCTTATGACTGAATGAAGTGCTCTGTGCGCCACCTATGCGGGGTTGAGCGCGCGTGGCGTCTCCGTAGTATTTGCTTCGGGTGACGGTGGAGTCTCTGGCCTGCATTTCCAGGAATGCACGACTTTCATCCCGACTTTCCCATCCGGATGCCCCTTGTAAGTTCTGTCTCTGAGTTGTTGCACTGCACTTGACTGACTACGAGCTTCATAGCCTTACTTCGGTTGGCGGAACGGTCAACATCCCGGAGGAGGCCGTTTACTTCTCGAGTGGAGGCTTCTCGACTTTCTTTGACCGGCCGTTTTACCAGGAAAGTGCGGTCGTAGAATATCTGTCCTTTGTCGGAGACACCAACGCAGGATTGTACAACCCGAGTGGGCGCGCATTCCCGGACGTGGCCGCTTACTCTGTTGCCTTTGACATCGTCATCGACGACTACGAGACCGGCGTCGACGGGACAAGTTGCTCAAGCCCGACTTTCGCGAGTATCATCTCCTTGCTGAACGATGAGCTGATCTCGGCGGGACGTCCTGTGCTTGGATTCTTGAACCCGTGGCTGTACTCGGCTGCGTGGGCGCTGAACGATATCACGGTTGGTGACAACTATGCCTGCTCAGACGGTACCACTGGTTTTAATGCTACAGCTGGATGGGATGCGGTATAGATATCTTTATAACTCTCTACATAATTTAAATTGACGAGTATGTTGCAGGTGACGGGGTTGGGTACGCCGAACTACGCGAAGCTGAAGGCGGCACTGGGCTTGTAGAGGTCTTCGGACTCTGCTGGTGGACTTGAACGTGTGTTAGGGATTGGATTCCGGTATGTGGTATTGATGCGTCATGGACAGTGCAATCGGTAGTGTCGAACTCTGCGGTATGTAGTAGAGCAGTTTTACGAATGGTACGCGTACGAACGGACTTGAAACCACGTGATCGCGTCAACTTCAGGGTAGCCACTTTCGCGGTCGTCACCATTTTGTCAATGTTGCGGCTTGTCCGAGTGCTCTTTCCCGTAAAAAGGAGAGTATCTCTTTTGGTCAGCTACGGAGACTATCTTTCCCGGCTCCTTCACTCCTCCAGCTTCATTGCAGAACCATTGCGGCACGCCGTGTTCCTCTCGCTTATCTCTGCCTCTTGGATAGTCTGTTCCCAAGGAGGCATTAATACCGGCCGCCGTGCTTCGCCATGGCATGGTACTTGGTGGTACCGTTTTGGTCTGCAGTATGGAACAGATAACCACATCGAACGGACAATGTCGCTATACAATGTATGCTGCTTATGTACCTGAAAGGCACTCAAGAACACACCAATCAACAACTGCTAATGTCGATGTCGGAGTATCGCTCTCTGTTGGCTTATGCCAGGAATAAACCAGCATGCGGTTCTTCGTGAGACGCATCTATCTTGTGAGTTGTGGTTGACAATAGGCTTGTACACGCGTCTCCTTGGCATATAAGTGTGCGACGATGACACCGAAACACCCCAAGGACTAGCAGCCATGCTCTCCTTCATTCTGGTGCACTCCCTGGTTATACTGACGGTGTTCGCGAGTCCACTCACGCGGAACCTTCAAGTCCATGAATCGCGTGCGTCCGCACCTGGAGGTTACACGCTCACAGGCCCAGCTCCGCCTGACACTATCCTGAGTCTTCGACTGGCTCTGGTCCAGAGCGATCCCGCAGGCTTGGTAGACGCGTTGTACGACGTCAGCACGCCAAACAGTACGAACTATGGAAATCATCTCAGCAAAGCAGCAGTAAGCACCAGTTGTGTCTCCATCGCAGACTGCATCTGGAATTTCTGACTTCGCTGGCAGGTAGAGGCGTTCGTTGCACCTACATCGGAGAGTATCTCGGCAGTGACCGCCTGGTTGAGCGACAATGGTGTTTCTAGCACAACATCTCCCTGCAGGCGACTGGCTCCTGATTCAGGTTCCCACTAGCAAAGCAAACGAGCTTTTGGACGCTCAGTACTCTGTCTTCACGCACACCACCACGCAGAAGCAGACCATCCGGACACTCTCCTACTCAATCCCACCGGATTTAGCGGGACACCTGGAGCTTGTTCATCCCACTATTTCGTAAGCACTCGATCGCGGGCACGTAATTTCGAGCTGATTATGCTTATTTTGTCGTGTACCCAGGTTCCCAGACCCATACAGCTCTCAGCCAGTAGTTGACTTCCCAAAGTGTCGAATTCGGGAGATGCTGCAGGTCCATGCGCGAACCTTTCCGCCATCACACCCACGTGCCTTCAATCCCTGTATAGCCTCCCGACTACTCCCGCTACGCACGGGTCTTCCCTTGCTGTCACAGGATATGTAGGGCAGTGGCCGCAGCGCACAGACTTGACGGTGAGCTCATGCTGTCGACCGTGATGCGTCCTACGCGCTGAACGTTCGAGAATTTAAGACATTCCTCGAAGAACTGCGCCCGGATATCTCGCCATCAACGACGTACAACATTGCTTATCTCGACGGGGGCATCGACCCGCAGAACGGAAGTGCGGGCATTGAGTCTGTATGTTCAGCTTCTAGGTCGGATGGCCATCTCAACGTGCTGATGCAGCGACTACTAGAACTTGGACATTCAGTACACTGTTGGGCTCGCCACAGATGTGCCCGTGACATTCATCTCCGTTGGTGGAGACTCGGCCGACACAGACTTCACAGACTCGCTCCTTGACACGGCACTCTACATGATTGGCTCGAGGCGCCGCCCCAGGTAATGACGACGAGCTATGGCGTCGACGAGTACCTCATTTCTGAGAAGCTAGCGTAGTACGTGCACAATTTGTCACAGTAAATTCTGGTGCTCTGCTTACGTCGAAAGCATGTCGCAGTAACCTCTGCGCTGCCTACGCGCAGCTCGGTGCCCGTGGCGTTTCGATCTTATTCGCTTCCGGAGATGGTGGTGTCTCTGGCGGTCACTACCCCGCCGACGGCTGTACCACGTTCATACCGACCTTCCCGTCGGGTGTCCATAGTACGCACCCCTGCTCCCTTCAGCCGCTTGCACAAATGGCTTGCTAATAGACGCTCCGCTTCCCTCGCAGCGTCACATCCGTCGGGGCACTATCAATATCCCCCAGACGGCAGTCAACTTCTCCGGCGGTGGTTTCTCCAACTATTGGGCACGGCCCTCCTTCCAGTCCCTCGCCGTCCAGGTATCTCGCCTCGCTCGGTCCACAGATGCTGGGCTATACAACGCCTCTGGACGGGGCATCCCAGACGTCGCCGCGTATGCCGTGGATTTCGCCATTGTCGTGGACGGCGCTGTCTTACCGGTCAGCGGGACGAGCTGCGCGAGCCCGACGTTCGCGAGTGTGGTCGCGCTCGTGAACGACGCGCTGCTGTCTGCGGGACGCCCGGTGCTGGGGTGGCTGAACCCGTGGCTGTATGCGGAGGGCTGGGAGGGCCTGACGGATATCACGACCGGAAACAACTATGCGTGCTCGAACTTCACTACTGGGTTTGAGGCGGGAGTGGGCTGGGACCCGGTAGGTCATCGTGTACCGCCTGCGACCCGATGCTGAACTGCTTGTAGGTAACGGGACTGGGCACACCAGACTATGCCCGACTGACGACAGTCCTCGGGTTGTGAGGTGGTGGGGCACCTGTACTTGGATTATATGCAACGGGTGCTTCGTCTCCCAGGATATATTCGAGCCGTGACTGCTTTGTTACAAGGGCACAGGAATATGTTGGGTGAGCTGTAAGTACTGCCAAAGTCCGAGTCGGTGAAGCGCACGCAGCTAGCGCGCGCCCAGCGCACGTGTGAACTGGGGCTACCTTATCAGTTCCCGAAAGCGCTCTTACCAGTGCACAGTCGAAGGACACTGCGAGGATCCTAGACATGTCTGCAGAGAGTATACCAGCTGACTATGACCCAACTTTCTACGAGAAACTCTACTACCTTCATCCGGAGGAGCTCGCGTTCTTCCAGACGCAGACTGGCATCAAGGATGAGGAAGAACTGAAGCGCCATATCATGAGCGTCCAGGCGGAGGCTCTGAAGGTGAGTGCTGCATCAGCTGTTTGTTGAGGTGCATCTGATCGGTCTTGCTTCCGTAGGTTACCCCATACCCCTGCATCAGAGCTTTTGCCTTCACGAAGTGCGTCTCCGTGATGCTTTATGTCCATTGCTCACCGACGCGGATCTTTCAAGGCTCGGCGCCAGCCGTCTTCCCGCGTACGACCAGGTTGTCAAACTTGGGAAGGAGCGCAAGGGCGCCATCTTGCTTGACATAGGATGCTGCCGTACGTACATGTGTCAGGCATGTGTGCATGCGAGCTCGTTGAATATCTGCCCTCTCAGTCGGAGTCGACGTTCGGAAGGCAGTGGCGGACGGTTTTCCCGCTGAGAACGCCATTGCGTCAGACCTGCATCCAGGTAAGCCCGAGAATGATACCAAGCAAATGGAAGGCTGACCGCAATAGCAGAATATTGGGACCTCGGCCACAAGCTGTTCAGGACTACGGCGAAGGAATTCCCAGCCCACTTCTTGGGAGGCGACGTCTTCGACTCGGCTTTCTTCGAGGGAAGCCCGATCCTAGACACCCCACCGACCACACCCCCGCCTGCCACGCTCGCCGCCCTGAAGACACTCAGCCCGTTGAACGGGCACGTCTCCGCGATCCACGCGTCTTCGTTCTTCCACCTCTTCAGTGAGGATGAGCAGCTCGAGCTCGCACGCAAGCTCGCCGGGCTGCTCTCGCCCGTACCCGGGTCCATGATCGTGGGCGTGCACATCGGCCAGCCGGAGAAGGGCCCGTGGCTGGAACGGCGCACGTTGCGGTCGGGGACGCAGATGTTCTGCCACTCGCCGGAGAGCTGGGAGGAGCTGTGGGACGGGGAGGTGTTCGAGAAGGGAAAGGTGAGGGTGGAGGTAGTCCTGCGGGCGGCGAAGGATATGGTTCAGATGGACGTCTCGAAATCATGGGTCGAGGCGGCCCAGCGCGCGGAGCTGCCGGGAACTGTCAACTACCAGATGCTGGTGTGGTCTGTTACGAGGTTGTGAGTGACCTCAGGGATGAGGTCCGTGCGTCGCGTACGTGGATCTTCGGGGTTACTTGCCCTGCATTTGGATTATCTGTACAACCACAGCTGGTGCGATGTATTTTTTGCTTGCCGTCGATATCCCAGTATTCATTTTCTTTCAATGACATATACAGAATGCCGAAGATTCATGTTAAGACTTTTCGTTAGCATTTGGCTCGGATTGCTATCTACCCACTGCAGAGGCTCGAACGTCAGTGAGAGTGTGCCTAACTCCGCATGCCCTCCAGCCGCAAAGCATGTTCGACACGGTGTAGGCAGGATCCGACCCGGAACGCCTTGCCTGGGCTGGGACTCCGACGAGTCGAGAAGGCTCTCCGAGCGGACTGCACACAGGCTGCCCATGCCACGGTGGCGTGATGTGCGGAAGACTGGGTTCCGCTGGAACTGACCTCGATCGCGCGCCGATCGTCCGTTCCATCTGCCGCCCGACGCCTCCTCGCCACGAATCCGCACTGAGCACTGCCAGCAGCCAGTGCTGAGTACATTCTGGATTGGTTAATACCCTGAACTACTTCTCCCAACGCACCGCAGCATCTACAGCGCTCAACGAACGGAGGATGGGCCAGCAAGCCACAACTCTCCGTCGAAACACGTCGTTCCGAGCCGACGGAGAGCGGGCACCGAGACCTCCGTAGATTGCAGTGGTCCCCGACCTTTCTGTTCCGGGCCTCGCTCTCCGTCATAAACCTCAATGACTCGCGAGGCTGCGCGGAATCCCTCCAGACATGTCTCCGGCGGCACAACTGGTGTCCCGCTACAGCACGGCGGCCTGCCGTCGCACCGAGCCTGCTCATCTTTGCAGGACCAGGTCCGTCCGCGGAACGTTATGGCGACACCCTTCGGTCGCCTACCTGTGTGTTCTTGAGGATCACCCTGCGGGAGCAGCTCTTGCAATATGTCTCACACTGCGATGAGCTCAAACGGCTTTCTGGACGACCATGCCACGATCAACTCCGTCCAGCTCGAACAACTCAACTCTGCCAAGACTCTGCCCGAAGAGAGGGCCGACGCTGAGGCAGACATCTTACAACCACTCGACAACATACCCGACGGCGGATCGCGCGCATGGTGTGCTACTATTGGCGGGTGCGTATTAGCTTGTACTCCAAAATCCACCTCGCTCATGAACGCAAGTAGGGCGCTGGTATCCTTCTGCACGTTCGGCTATGCGAGTTCATTTGGTGTCTACCAAGACTACTACGTGCTCGCAGGCACCTCGACGTCGTCCAACATCAGCTGGATAGGCTCCTTGCAGCTGTTCCTCATCTTCTTCGTGGGTTTCCCCGCTGGTCGACTCTTCGACGCGGGCTACTTCCACTCCGAGGTCCTCCTCGGGAGCATTCTATACCTCTTCTGGTGCGTACCTCCATATATGCGGATCGAACACACTGCGAACACCGCGCCTCCAGTCTCTTCATGCTCTCCTTAGCCGACCCGACAAAATACTACCAAATCCTCCTCGCCCAAGGTATCGGCATGGGTATCGGCGGCGGGTTCATGCTCGTCCCCGCGCTCTCGCTCCAAGGGCACTACTGGAAGAAGCGACGGAGCATGGCGCTCGGCCTCGTCGTCACCGGCTCAGGTTGCGGCGGCATCATCTACCCGATCATGCTGAACCGCCTGATCAGCGGGAACAGCGCGATAGGATTCGCGTGGGGCGTGCGCGCGTCGGGGTTCTTGACGCTTGGGTTGCTGGTAATCGCGCAGCTCTTGATGCGGGCGAGGGTGCCCGGAGCGAAGGAGCGGGGAGAGCAGCCGAAGCCGAACGTTTGGGGCGCGTTGAGGGACCCGTCGTTCGTGTTCACAGTGTTTGGGTAAGCGGCTACGTACACGTGAAGTAAGGTGACAATACTGACGAGTCCGTAGAGTGTTCCTAGTGTACTGGGGACTCTTCATGCCTTGTGAGTGTCAGCACGAGCCTGCCCCAAATAGTCATTCACCAACGGACCTCGACAGATTTCTACCTCCAACTCTGGCTCAACCTACACGGGCTCTCAAGCACCCTCGCATTCTACACGGTACGCCCCCTCCCGCGTCCGCCGACGCCCCGACCTGACCTGTGCCCAGATCGCCATCCTGAACGCAGCCTCCGTCCCGGGGCGGGTCATCCCGAATACGCTGGCCGACTACTTCGGGGCCCTGAACGTTGTGATCCCCGTCTCCTTCATCATGGGCGCGCTCGTGTTCGTCATGTTCGGCGTGACGAACACCGCCGCGGTCGTCGTCTTCTCCATCTTGTACGGGTTCTTCTCGGGTGCATGTGAGCAGTCCTCTGACCGTGTCCGTCCGTCGCTCTCGCTGACTCGGATCCTGTGTAGATATCGCGCTCGTGCCGAGTGTGTTCGCGGTGCTGGCGAGTAAACCTGAAGAGCTTGGGCACGTTATCCTCTTCTATGTCTCCCTACCACCACGCTCACGGTTCTACCCTACAGGATCCGAATGGGCCTCGGATACTGCATCGTCTCGTTCGCCATGCTGACCGGGACGCCCATCGACGGAGCGCTCCTCGGGCAAGGCTCCGTGCTGCAGTGGCCCAAGCCCATTGTATTCAGCGCGGTAAGTTCCGCGTTAGACCGCAGGGTGAGCGCTGGCTGATTATGCGTCGGTCAATGCAGGTCGTGATGGTGGCCGGCGCTGGGTTCACGTGTATAGGGAGACATTTCCTCGTAAGGGTGAAGGGCTCGCAGTGGACGTAGACGGGCGGAGGCGAGATAGCGTGGCAATACGGACAGCACTGATACATCGTAGACGTCTAGATCACCACTATTACAGCTTGTCGTCTTGTACTATACCAATAAGTCATAATTTTACTTGTACATATATCAAAGCATGTCGAGGTGCACCTGGCAGATGCTTAGTGCCCGTTCTGGCATGAGCGTTATCCTGTGTACGAGTCGAGTACTACGCGCGCATGCTTGCTCCGGTCTCTCTGTGCCAGCCAATTGAGTGTTGATTCAACGAAACAGAGGTACGCACTGGAGGTGACCGGTGACAGCTACAGGCTGTAGTATAGCCTAAGATTCGCGAGATTACCATGAACTGGACGTTTCACGTGACGGCGTCGCGATTGGTACGGTGTCGGCGGTGGTGTGAGGCTGACGCGGGACGTTGGTCGCGGTCAGAATCGTGAGCCAGCCACGTCCGCCGGGCTGACACCGTATCCAGAGTATATAAGGACCTCTGAGGCAGAGCGGATCGTCAACTCACCTTTCCTTCTCACCTCCATCTTCTCCGCCTTCGACGGCCTCCTCCCGGGACTCGTGCACGGGCTATTCACGGTGAACATTGTTCTGTCTCCTTGCCTCATACTCACCATGTAAGTATCCTACAGCCCATGGCCAAGACGAAGGTGAGTGGGTTCCGTTTCGGCGGCTTGGTCTGTGGTTCGTAGTTCGTGATTCGTGATTCGTGATTCGGCTCCCCTCTTGTACCATCCACCCATCGCGCCTGTCATACCCCTCCTACCTGTCCATTTAACTCTCGCTCATGTAGTGTTCGTGGGTTCGTTGCGGCAGCGCCGAAAGGCTGCTGTCCGCTTGCCCCCGCGTGCGGAGCATATGCCGCGGGTGGCCTACTGGCGGCAGCACCGAGAGGAGCTGTCCGTCCGCCCCCGTGCCGAAAGGCTGCGGGTGGCTTCGCCCTCGTGCTGCGAGTGGCTATATGGGTTCGTGGTTTGCGTTTCGGGTCACCGTCTCCTGCATGTATCTCCTCATCGCGCATGTGTCGACCCTCCTGCCTGTCCATCCACCTCCGCGCCTGTCCTCGTAGGTAGAAAACCTGTGATGCCTGTGCAGTCTGTACCATCAGCGGGTCGAACACGTTCCAGTTGGCGCGTGTGAGCCGTTGGTGGTACAGGTTGTGAATGGTATTGTGAGCATGTATGCACTGTGACGTATGAATACTCAAGTACTCAGGTTTAGGAAGTCCGTTCAAGGACGAGGCGACTTCGTCGCCTGTTGCGAATACCTACTTTCAACGCGCTAGTACTGCGCAGCAACCGACAGCCCCCATTACAAGGACCATCTCAGTGCGTTACACAGACGTAGTGCTGAAGTGAGACGATATGTGGCCGTTGGTAGCGGTTCCTGCGTGTTAGAACTTCTCAGTGAAGGCATTTGATATTTAAATAAATTGTACAACACCTGAAAGAACGATGCAAGGCCCGCACCTCCTTCTGGCATACCGATATGTGTGAAGCGAAGGTTTGACAGAAGGCCTAGAGATTTTCTTTAGGGTCGTTTTAAGTACTGCCAACAGTGAGCCCATAGAAGACCGTCCTCCCCTCCGTCAAAGAGGTCTTCTTTATGGTCTGCCTGGGGGAAACTAACAGTGAGCAGAGCGGAGTAAGGATCAGGGACGTATGGGTGGTGGCAGCAGGCCGGTCTGTTCACCGAAGGCTTCGAGTAGTGCAAGCGCCGAAGACCGAAGCGACTTGCATCTCACCGTCACCGACTGACTATTCGTTGGATATCTCTTATAATCCGCAGTCGATGTGCAATGCCAGGCCGCGACGTGCACGATGCGACATAGCCCTCTCCTCAGCTCGGACGATTTGCGGCACCGGCACTCGTTTAGCCTTGAAGAACTCTTGAAGAACTCTCAGCTTAATTTTTCCCCAATGCAACGACCTCGACGCCGCTTGTCGGACTCGCAGTGCTGATCCTTGGCTACCGCAGCGAGCACCGAATTGCCAGTAACAAAATTTGATGCAATGTATTCAGTCTCGCTCAGCATCTAGGTCGGCCCGTCCTTACTGTCCATGACGAGATGCCGGCTGAATATCGGCCTTTCAAGTCGGTGTGCGTCCATTGTACCACTTGACCAGCCTGATCGTGTCCAGGTTATACGAAGTCAAGGAAAGGTCGCGTCTTTACGGTATGCTGTCGCATACTGGACGACTACAGTCCCGAATCGCGACAGTGTGGGCGGATGTAGCTCTGGAGTCGCATCCTGTATGTTCGTGCGTGTGGTCTCATGATTGCACTAATAAGACATCTGACTCGCTATTCTAGGGCACGACGTTTACACCGCATGCCGCCGGTCCGCTAGGACATCCAGGACGTTATCTACGCGTGTGCGACGGCGCGTCGCGTCGCGCCTGGACAGTGCACACAACCTGTCAGGGAGCACTATGACACGTCTGACATCGCTACTTCTGAGTGCGTTGGCCTGCTTACTACCTGTGCATGTCAAGGCCTGGAATTCAACCTACTACAATCCCGTCATTCCTGGCTTCCACCCTGATCCCAGTTGCATATTTGTTCCTGAGGAGGACAACACGTTCTTCTGCGCGTCGAGCAGCTTCAATGCGTTTCCCGGTATCCCAATACATGCCAGCAAAGACTTGATCAACTGGCGGCTCGTCAGCAATGCTCTCAACCGTCCCGAGCAGTTGCCAACCCTTGCCATTACGAACAAGTCCACCAGCGGGATATGGGGTTCCACGGTCCGCTACCGCGAAGGCACGTTCTATGTTCTCACGACGCTCGTCTTTGACGATCAGCCTGAAACGAACTCCTCGCGCTGGGACAACATGTTCTTCACCTCCAGGAATCCGTATTCATTCGCGTCCTGGTCGCAGCCCGTGCACTTCAACTTCACTGGATACGACACCTCGCCGTTCTGGGACTCTGACGGCACCGTCCACGTCACGGGTTCGCACCCCTGGGAAGTTACTCCCGGAATCACGCAGACGACACTCGACCTCGCCACGGGCGAGGTCGGCGCAAGCTACCAGTACATCTGGAACGGCACAGGCGGTGAGGCGCCCGAGGGCCCGCACATCTACTGGCGCGACGGGTACTACTACCTGATGATCGCGGAGGGCGGGACGGGCCTGAACCACATGGAGACGATCGCGCGGGCGCGCGAGGTGGGCGGGTTATACGAGTCCAACCCGGCGAACCCGATCCTGACAAACGCCAACACGAGCGAGTACTTCCAGACGGTCGGCCACGCAGACTTGTTCCAGGACGCGGAGGGGAACTGGTGGGGCGTCGCGCTGTCTACACGATCTGGGCCCGACTACACCGTATTTCCGATGGGACGCGAGACGGTGCTGTACCCGGTTACGTGGGAGGAGGGCGAGTGGCCTGTGCTGCAGCCTGTGCAGGGAGAGATGAGCGGTTGGCATCTACCGAAGACGAACTTCGACGTGCCTGGAGAAGGGTGTGTCGCTTCATGAAGGCATCCGACTACTATGGCTGACGCAGCCTAGACCGTTCGCTGACTCACCAGACTATCTCACCTTCTCGCCTGGATCCCTTTTGCCCATCCATCTTGTGCACTGGCGGCTGCCCATCGATACTTCGTACACCATCTCACCACCCGGTCATCCCAATACACTCCGCCTTCTGCCCTCGAAGCTTAACCTGACTGCTTATGATGGAAATTACGCTGGCCCGAGGGTCAAACCCTACTCGCTCGAAGACAGATGGACACGCTGTTCGCGTACAGCGTCAACATGGACTTCGCACCATCCCTTGAGGAAGAGGAAGCTGGTGTGACGGTCTTCCTGACACAGGTGTGTAGATGCCCATCTATCAAGAACCTGTACATTGATCTCCCTGAGTCACGTAGAATCACCATATCGATCTTGGCATAGTGCTCCTGCCTTACACAAACACAAGTACGAACATAACAGCGCTCACCCCATGCTTCCGGTTCCGCTCCTTGTCCTATATCGGTGTACCGCCTACCACGGTGACTCCCGTACCCAGTGCATGGCTCGGCCGAACGCTGCATTGGGAGATCAAGGCATCCAACCTTACGCACTACAGCTTCGCAGCGGGTCCTGCGGATGCCCGC